ATTTATGTTCCATTTGCACCCCCCCCCCAACCGGGGTGCGCCCCTCACGGAGCCCCCCGCAGAATGCGTGCGGAGTCAGAGACATGTATGACAAAATTTCGGTATTTGCCATGATTCGCCCGAAATTCCTCTGTCATTGCTTCCCATCTGCATCTCCACGCACATTAGTCTCTTCCCCCCTCGAGCCCTCTTCAGCCACCACCCCCCCAGGCGGCTCGGGTGCGTAATGAAGGGGAAAGAAATTATACAAATTCACCCACTTTCTTATCCACTCACATACGAGATCTCTGGCTGTATTTTCCACGCTCGCATCAACTCACATGTGCAAAACCACATGACGTGGCTGTGAACGTCGATTTGGCATTAAAATTCCACCCCTGGCTGCAGGCATTTTCGAGCACATCAAAAGGAATACCGAAATTTCATTTGTGGATTAATAGGGGTATTCGATGCCAAATTTCATTACGTCAAAATTTTAGAGACTCCTCATTTCCATAAATCCAAATTTGCCTATGCATTTTTCTATATAAATAAATTCATTAATAACAGCATTATTGACGGGTATTGCAAATGTGTTGGAATTGTGAGTATTGGAAAATATACATTTTACATAAACTCAATATATTCGCTCTAGTTAGTCGTAGTTTATTCAAATTGATATTTATAATTCAATTCCAATCAGAGTTATATATAGTTCAATCTGATAATCAATTAGCTAAATTAAATAGTGGATATTTTTATTAATTAAAATAAATTTTGAATATACAGTTTTGCAATAAAAAAAATCCTCTAGAATCTGTAGATGACTATGTATGTGGCCTCTTCACATATTCCATCCCAGGTGCTGAAAAGATAAACTTGACGCGAGCTTTTATTTGCGTTCCGGCTATAACTCTCTGCGGAAGCCTTTTGAAATGAGTCTGGGTGGCAGTGAGGGGTCTGCGAAGGGTGGAGGGTGATTAAGCATTTCGCGAGAGAAAGGAGGACACAGAGTGATAAGATCGAGGCCGCAAAATATGCTGTGCACCATGTAACGCCACGGTAGGAAGTTTCCAGCGAGGGGCGCAAGAGACAGTTGTATGCTCATTTAATTCAATAATGAAAGCATTAATCTCACTGAGTGTATGACTTGGCGGTTGCACAGTGGCTTGGTGTCACTATGCTGTTCTGCATGAATTCACGTGGCATAGTGAGGACCTATGGATGGAGGCGGCTCTAGCGGGTGTTGTGCGCCATTGTTGTCTGGCAGGGAATTTCTATTTAACTCCCGTGTTTGTTGATATGGTTATTGTTCCAGCCAACATCGAAAACTGCTTAACCAAATTTAATTAGTGTGTTGAATTTTTATAACTCTCCTTGCAATGGGCCATGTCTTCAGCCGTGCCTTTCCACGCGCTGGCAAATTATTCAGCCAAGAGTGGATTGTCGCGGTGGACAAAAGGAGTGGGATCACAATGTAATTGTTTTTGTTGACCTTTGTTTCATTTCCATTAAAATTTCAAGCACTGCCGCTGTTGTCCATTTCACGATCGCCGCAATTTCTCACTCTCTTTCTCCACGGCAGTGCGATGGAGAAAATGAGGAATCTCTGGGATGGGGAACGGTGATAAACAGATGGATACAGCGAGAGTGAGCTCAATAAAGCTCTTTACATTGTCCAACAGCGAAAGCATTTTACACGACCGTTGAGCGCGCCCTTTCCCGTTCATGGCGTGGAGCGCCTTCCGGACAAAGTTTCCCACTGAAAATGTCGCAGAGATAAATCAAGCCCCTGAAGAATTCTAAAGACAGCTTTTGCACCTTTTCAGACTGACTACATTGAAAGTGTAGTTGATGCAGAATTTTCAACAATTTCTTTATTCGACGTGGAAAATTACGGAAATATTTCCCCACGGAATTCGCAATTGTCAGAGGCTCTTGCCGAATTCACGTCTCACGAGAATGGTAAAATGGTTGAAGTTTATTTGAATATTCCCTAACATGTCTATTCAAATATTCACGAGTCGGGCAGAATTTTTAAAAAATCTCAGAATTGTCCTGATTTCTTAGATACGAAGAGAAGAAGTGCGCAATGTGGCTTTCGTTTCATCAGTGGAAGGAAAGTTAAGAATTATGTGCGGAGAGGTTGATTTATATCCATGGAATCTGGGGCTGTACAATAAAAAGGAAATTTACATATGCGTTTTCCAATGATAAAGGAATTCAGTGGAGATTTTTATATACGATTTCGCACAGGTTTTCAATTCGATTGTTATTGCTTGGAGGCTTTGAGGAGAAAGGCGATGTTGTAACTCATCGATAAATCTTGCAGAGGAATATCAATGATTTCTGATTGTGAGTTTCTATTTGACTGCGCCTTGACTCTCATTGTCAGTCTTCCAACCGCCCCACGCCCAACAGATTCGCCAAATTGAGATGCTGTCGCAAATGTCTGAAATTCGGGCGATGAAGCTGACGGTCCAGGCGTGTATTGGGCCACGAGAGTGCAAACAAAGCGACGAGGGTTTATGTAAATTGACTTCAATTGTGGCTTATTGGTTTTTCGCCACTCTCTGCCTCGCTCTCCCTCGATCTGTGCAGAAAAACAGTTCGCCACCAGTTCTTTCGCCAAACTTGCCCACCAAACAGATATTCGGATGGCTGATGGGGTGTGAGGGAAGCTGAAAAAAGTTGACTATTGGGGCAGTGAGGCGCATGTTGATTGAAAAAAGCCGTATCCGAAGACAAATATCAACATTTACATTTGGCAAGCTTTAATTCTCTGCACAGTTAATTGAATGTATTCCACGGTTAAATTTCGACGGAATCTTCCTCTATACAAGACAAATTGGATTCGTGACAGGCATACATTTGAGCATTCTCCTCTTGTGGCTTGAATTTCACCGGGTTGGGCCGGTTTTTTTTCGGGGGTGGTAAAAAGGAGACAGGAATGCTTTTCCCATTGTCAGTATTTTCCATGTGATACCGAAACAGTATCTCATGGATGCCGAAAAGAGTGTTTGAAATTTCGCATTTCCCCGCAGAAAAATGCCATTTCACGAAATACGAAGATATGGAAAATATATAAGGATTCCAAGAACAAGTGTGACTCTCTTCACCTTTAATAATCCGCTTGGCACAACTGTTTACAGATACACATTCCTCGACATAGCCCAGAAAACACATTTTCACAGTCTGCAAGTGAAAAACCAATTTTGCATTCATTGCTTTCCAACACTGAGATCCAGCAATAGCGAAAAGAATTTCCATATATTTGCAAAAGGTTCGGGAGATGAGGGAATGGCGCGCGAGAAATATTTCGCAATGATGTAAGAAAAGTGTAGCGACTTAGCGCATTGTAGGGGATTTACTGTAGAATTATTTACGACATTGTTTCAAGTTTGGGGGGGGGGGTGGCGGAGAGTATGAAAGCATTCAAATTCAAACAATTTCACGGGTGAGCCCTTCAACTCACCTTGCGCAAGTGTATTTTCCACGGAGAAATACAACAGACTCAAAATAGTCTCTTTAGGGATGATGTCAATGGAGTTTGGCACTGAAAATTTACCAACTATACAATGGCATTTAATTAAAGAACATCTGTGTGCACAAAATTAATTATGCCGCAATTTTATTATGTAAATACTCCCTGGCTCTCAAAATATGTCCCTGAAACGCTCTATTTTTCACATTATTGACCTTCTCATCATAATGGCGATTTGCAATTAATTTACTCAACGTCCCATAATTATGCTCATGCTATTATCCGACACGACGAACGCCTAATTTTGCGCATAAACAATGTCCCCATTAATAGGTTTATTAAGTTTTTAATTATCGAAAATAATTTTATATACCACGCATTGGAACCTCCCTGAACCTCATGTCATTCATTTAGTGTCTCTTTATGTCATGATAATTGCATAATAAATTGAAATTATGGTATCGACAAATGTGATGTGCGTTCATAAAATGCGGCAACAAAACATAATTTAGTGTATATTGTAGTCATTTCTGATGATATTTCATCAGAAAGCATCTGCCATTCTCAACTTTATGCCCACATTTTATGTACAATTCCTTGAATATCGTCTCTCTTCCTGTTCGAGGCGTGCACTGTGAGAAGAGCGACGAATTAATGTCCTCCGCCTGCACATTAAGACAGACTTATCAATCAATTTCTCTGCACTTGCCATATTTAGCCATGGCTATTTCTCTCCCAACTCCCAACACTCCTGCTGCAAATTTCTGCTTCGGACGACCAGAACAAGACAACAACAATAGGATAAAGTTGAGAATGAACATTCACGGAGTACTAAGCAGCTTATCATTTGCTAGCAAAGTGAAGAAAAAATCAAACTAATGGTGCAGAGTGAAAAAAGTCTGCTGTGCCGGATAGAAAATGTGGGAATGCGCTAAGTAAATATCAAAGTGAGAGTTAGAAATGGGCGGACAAGAGAAAAGTCGTATCGATTTTTCAATGCCGGTTGGGCGATTATGAAATATCTGGTGGAGTATGTCTGCACACCAATGGATATTCTTGTCATTCTCAAATCCGCAGAGCGGAACTGAGGAAAACAAAGTGGAGATGTAATCTAGAACTGAAATCTCTTTCGTGGAAAGCTTTATAAATTCGTTAAATTCAATGCTTCAACGTGAATCCCATGATGGAAAACTGATGAGGTTAAATCACTGCAATGGAATTCATTGGATAGTTGTGATCCACTAAATTGAGAAATCATATCAAAACACTCCAGTAATGGAATTCATTTGAAAATCAAGCAATAACTCTGCATATCACATTACTCACGAAGCATGTGCTGAATAATGGTGACTTGGCCATGCTGCTACGCACTAAATGGAGAAATATTTTCTGGATAAATTAGAGAACTGGCAGCCAGTATTTATTGCAAATTTGATAATGCTCATACACACCTAATAGCAAAATAATGCATTAAATGGCTTAGAGTAGTGGAATTAATGGCGATTGTACAACAAATGCTCTATTCTTCTAATTGCAGGACGGTGAACGTGGTCATTTGGAGGGTCTTGCATCGGTTTATTGTGAAATTCTGATGGCTCCATTTGGGGACGTATTAAGTGCTTTAGAGAGTGAACGATTAGCGGCATGGGCCGATATTAGTCCGCATCATAGAGGTGTGGGTGCGAAGCGAGGCCACCGGGGGAGCTCCAGCCAAGGTGGCCTCCCCAATAGCCATAGTCAACCAATTTATGTGCCAGGGAAATATTCAGTGAGTATTCTGAGTAAATTAGGGATTAGCCACGATTATAACTCACTAGTTGGTCTCTCTCTCCTCCTGTCCTCACGTAGAATTGGTTTAGTTTAGCAACTTTTAGATAGTTGGATTACCTGTGAGATTCCGTAGAGATTACCAACGTAGTGCCAAGCAAACTAACTTCCACTAACACCTAAGACATACAATAATGTCACTGGACTTTGTCTCAAGACAAGCCTTCATTTTGGTATTGGTTGTGTTTGAAAAACTGATGTAAAAGTCGTTGTGGTGATTGAGTCTACCTCGCACTGTCAGACACAGTTTTGCTCATATTCTCCCCACTTTCGTTATGGTGAAAAAAGCACACAAGCCAAAGTCTATTTGCACTGGATTAATCTGGGGATTTATAATGTAGTGCTAGTGGGAGGAAATTGGTAAAATCCAACTAACCTTTCCACACGAACTCAAATCATTTGGCTCAAGGGTGGAAAACGCTTAGTGAATAATTTGGAAGATTGCCCAATGCTTGCTGAAACTTTTGTGAAAGATATTCTTGGCAAAATTTCCAAATGTTACACAAACATACAGTATATGTATGTACAGATTCGAGAGATTTACTGATACTTTTCCAATTGTGACACTTTGTAGTTTTCCAGAAAATTAGAGCAGTATAGTTTGTGGTTCTTTAATGAAAATTTGAGCAGTAGACATAATGTTTCTTCCAATGCACAGAGTTTATTACCCAGCATAACTTCTACTAAACTAACATATAATTTCAGACTCACCATTGTCAAATGTTCTCTATAATAATTAATTTTAATATGCAAGGTGTAGGGAGGCAATAAATATATGTTTTCGTTCCATTCTTTTCTGCTTGCCTTGTTATGTGCACAAGACCCGATAGAGCCCAAGAACATGTACTCCCTGCTTTCCAATATAATCTCACCTATATTTCTTTCTGTTGGGACGTGGGAAAACATTCGGTGTGTAGTGTATGCAAAATACTGTTTAAGTGCAGACCCAATACCATGGAGCATGATGGGGTGGCGGAGAATAAAAAAAAAGAGTAATGCCGGTTGTGGGGAGGGAATAGGAAAAGAAAAGAAGTATAGTCCAACTCCTTTCAACCTTTTCGTTCCGGTTTCCTTCTGCTGACACTCTGTATCTCGAGAAAAGTCTTCAAATGCGAAACACATTAATCTCTATAGCCGAGTAAACTAGTTCTCTTTTTTTCCACCACTCTGCACACTCGCAGCCGTCAAGCTGTCTATCCGATAAGGAAGAGGATGAAATTTACGGTTTCGGATATGGTGTCTTCGCCCCAAGGGTGGCTCGAGGTGCACTGCAGTCGACGATCAATTCGCAACAGCATCCATCTCACACCAACGCCCAGCCGCAGTACCAACAATCACAGAGTTCAACCATTCAGCCAGCCATACAGCAGAGGTAATTCCCCAATGTTTGTCTATCCAATAATCCAGTAGTTTGTCTGAACTCTCCCCGACATTTCCCACACCTTCCCAAGGCGCATTGCCCGGAGCTTTTTCCCAAGTGGTCCCGCTTTTTGTGCATTGCTCCACCTTAATTGTCCCTTTCCGTTTGAGATAACTGGGAATTGTCACAGGAGTCTTGTTTATGTTACCCATTAAAGAGCATGATAATAAATTTTGCCCTTCTTTCAGCTGCCTGAGTCCGCGATCGGCGTATTTTTATGAATTCCCTCCCACAGGTACGTCTTGCTTAAATCATGACCGGAATCACTTAAGCAGAGAGAATCAATTCATAACTGCAATGCATTTTCATCGCAAATGCTCTGAATTGACTGCCTTGAATTGAATGATAATGCACTTTGACAATTATTTCTCATTTCTCATTCTCTGCATTTTCTCAACATCATGGCACAAAAAACAGTCCCATCATAAAAATGTATGTCTTTCAGAAGGACGCGAAACAACGAAGAAGCGCTTGACACTGGCGAGATTGCTCAAAGGCCTAAAAACTGTAAATAGGAGAGATAGGACCAATAATCAAAACACCGGCACAACTCAATTAATCGTAAGTCTATCCAATAATTTTGCACAAAATATTCCCAAGACGAGGAGGACAATGAGAGGCGACGTGGCATAAATCTGTAAATTATTCAAAATCAAATTAATAACGGAAAGCCCAGGATGAATTCTTCCTTTTCCGTCCTTAATTGAATTTTAGATGAAGAACAAGCGCGCGGAATGAGGAAGATTGTATTTTTAATCCAGATTTGTGTCGGCATGGAGATTAAGTTTTATTATGCCAAGTACTGGTACCGCCTATGGAATAACACAGGAGAACAATTTGTGTCTCTTTATTTAATTTCTGCTCCTCCTCAGCGTCAGTGAGAGGGGGCGGTGAGGGTCGACGCGGGGCTTTCATCTCTATTTTATGGCCTCAAAAATTTTACAACAGCTCAATCTTGCAACGAGCTTTCTTTACATGGGGTCGTAAAAATGAACTTTTGCACCAGTAAAGTTTGCTTTAGAGAGAGAGAGCTTTTTTTAAAGTTACACTAATGCCCGTAAAAGTTTCTCTGTGAAGACTGAGAGCTTTTTTTTTATCTCAATCGAATTGTTCCGTATTTCGGAAAAAATGTGATTTCGCCGGAAAAAATGCAGCGAGATATGCGAAGCATAAAACAGGAAATATGTATATGTATGTAGGAACATTTTCCATTTGGATGGCTTTATGCAGTCCCATTGTGCTGAGCTTTTTCTGCGTGGCGGAGGAATTGTGGGAAATTTGCGGGGTGTCAACTGCCATGTAGATAATGTTTCACATTCATTTTAATGAAGTTCTCTTTTCATTTATGCCTCCCATGTTACTATCATCATGCGGATACGGTGGGACGGATAAAAAATTTACGGCAATTTTTACTTTATCCACCTTGTCTCTCGTTGAGCTTGTGCGAAGGAGAAGAAGGGATGACATTTCAGGAGGAGAATCGTCTTCCGGGCGCCGCAAAAGGGAGTTAATCTCCTTGGAAATGTCCATTCGACAAATGATTTGACTAATGTCGGGCAACCGATTGCCCGCTCAGCGCACACACTGTCTGGCGTGATAAGGAGACTTCAAGGCTTGGGTGGGCGCGAGAGGATTTATAAAGCAAAGGAGAGAATGATGAAGGATTTGTTATATGTATCAAATGATATCTCGAAAGGCACATTTTCATTTCGCTTCGAGTTCACATTCACAGGACTCAAAACTAAAATGACTCACGCTCGAGTGAATTCTCCTTCGGCAAAATGGGCGAATCTCTTGCCAAGACGATGGCATAAGATGAGTTGGAGGACGCAATCAGATTATGACAATTCTGGAGTTTTAGTTAAATCGCTGGGATTTATTTTCATTTCTTGGGATTTCTCATGTTTAAAGGGACACACAAAAAGGGAGAAGAGCATCTCATAATTTTGTGATTGTATTCTCTCTCAGAGTCATTCTCCAGATTAAGTTCAAATTGAGGATTACTCTCAGTGAAAAACCATGTTGCATTTCACTGTGGTTTCACATTTGGTGAATATAGAGGAAGTAGTTAGTTGAGAGTGTACAAAAATTCCTGGCGAAATCTACAGAGAATCTTTTGCTATCCGGTGTTTCGTCCCCGTGTACATGGCGCCGCATGGAATAATCTGTGGGTTGATGGTTCACAGCAGTGGCATCGTGAACACGCTGATTTCAGTCAATTTTCAAGGCCTGCGAGGGCTTGTGGGTGGCAGTGAATTCACACGCCAGAGGCTCAAAGCGGCCAGACGAACAAATGGCTATTGGGTATAAAGTGTCGCTATAGACATAATTCTATTCACTGTGTCCCCTCGGTGATGTGCACTCTCTTTTGCAAATTGCATGGGTGAAATCAAGAATATGTGTCTGGATGGGTGTTTATAGCGTGTCACTGTACACAGCGCATTAATGGATGGAGTGAATACAATGACGAGCACTCGAGACGGCGCCTTTTTTCCACGTATTCGTGCTCTATCTCTGGTTTGAGCGATGCAATGAACACTCCACTATCCAATTGCCAGGCAAGAAACTGTGTTCCTGCAATTTAGAGATGCTTTTTGAGGTATCCTTTGATATCATGTGAAAATCGTGAAATGAAGCAAAGTATGTGAAATGTGTTTTACTTTGATTCGTTGAAAAGCAAAGTTTACTGGTAAAAAAAATGTATGTCATAAAATTTGTCAGCGGGTTTTTTGGTATTCACGTCATAAATTGATAAAGAGAAATGAATAATTCAGCGCTGAATGCAACGGAAATGTGTGCACTCTCGCTCTCCCTGCAATTTTGCTGGGATTTTGCTGCGAGTCCTTAAAAAAAAAGAGTCAAATGTGATTAGAGTGTTTCTGCGGTTCAGACAGACTCTTTTTTTCATTTACCACTGTGGCAGAGAGTTAATTAAAATTTGAAACATACCCGACATCTAATTAAGAGACCTTCTCCGCAGAGGTATTTCTTGCTCATATTATTTAACGTTTCGTTATTTGCAGAACGAGAGAATCGAAAGACTGAGACATTTCCAAGCGAACGGAGGACCACAAAACAGTTTCGAGGAAACCATCCATAGGGTTAGTATGGTCGCTTGTCTGCCTTTTGAGGACTTTCATAAACAAAACTAATTAAATATTAAATCAGCTTAGTCTATCTAGATGAAACTTTTGCATTTTCCTCGTCGCCACATGAATATTTCTCAACAACAACGCTCTTTCCTCTTATTTTCAGCTTAAAGTTCAAGAGGCGCTGCGGAAAAGGGAAAAATTTCAGCGTGAACACGAAGAGGTGAGTTTTTTTTCGTTTTTCATTACACATTCAATTTGATGCTGAACACTCAAAAAACACGTGAATCACTTTCGTTCAATTGATTTTGCATCAAATTGAGTAAATTGCAATCTCGTATCAGATTCTGTACTCATTTTCGGGACGGTATTGATGTGAATGTATCATTAAACTACCGAAAATCAGATAAGCTTTCAATTATCAATTGATGGCACTGCAAATAACCAAATAGAGTTAATTACTAGTGGAAATTGCACTATTCAGCATAACTATCAATTTTAACATGTATGCTGAGCTTTGTTGAAAATTTAGGGTTTCATTGAGATCTCTTGTCACGTCAAAATTTATAATTTGTAGAAACTTATTGATGACTAGCGAACAAATTGTTCAAATAATCACAGTTCTGAATTAAATATTAAGCCTCCCAAGTGAACACAAGATATTGTTGTATCGCGGGAAACTTTTCGGCACTGGTCCAAGTCTCTCTTCTCTGTACATAACATTTTTTTCCTCCCAGGTGGAATATTGCAAAATATGAAGGTATATTCTGCTTGGCTGTGCTATGTAATATTCAACTTTGCTTTCAATATAAATATCATAGCGCAAATGTATTATTCTGAAGTTTGTAACAAAGTTTGCCTCCTGTTGGAACGCTGACTTTACGGATGCCTCGGAGGGTAGTTCAAAGACCAAAGTCGAAAGGGAGGCAAAGAAAAGAGCACTTTATTGGCTCCTAATTCAAATTATGCTAACAACTGAAAATCTTATATAAGAGTGCGTTTTATATATGTAACGACACTTTTGGAGTTTTTCCATAGTCTCATCCACTTTTTTCCGTGTTTGCGTTACGGTTAACGAATGGCATGGCAAAAAGCACCATTGTAGTCTTGCCTGGAGCTTTTTCTTGGGTAATAGTATATAAACTTAAAATTCAAATTCGCGGAATGGGACTGTTATTCTTTAGGTTTTTTCTTACTCCGCCCCGAATTTTCGGATAAGAACTCAACCCTGTTTGGTTGTATACCATGTTTTCCTGCATATTTGCGCGTCGTTTTTTTCTGCGAGTAAGAATATTGATATGTGTTTACGAGAGAATGTGGTGAATATAATTTTTCGCTATGGAGCTTGAGAGGGAGAGAAAGAGAAAACTTTGAAGAGTTTGTGTGCAGTAAAACTTTTACTGTTTCAGCCTTTTTATCACACTCCAAGGAATTTATCTAACACATTAGAGGAGATAGGCCAATGGAAATACCACCGAGGGAATTCGTGTACAAGTAGGGGAAGGTATTGAAGGGTGGAAAACATCCTGTGTCGTGTAGTCGAGGCCTTTTTCAGCACGAAAAATGATGGGTGAATTTCTTGAGAAATGGAAACAAACACCATAATATCATTACTCTTTGTCAAATATTGTAATACGCCTTATATATTTGGAAAACATTCTCAAATTTTTAAGCACGCCAAAGCGTTGCCGACAGCTGCTTCTTGGGATTATTGAATTTACAAAGTTTTCAGGAGGGATACGATGGGTCTGTCAGAAACATTCAGAAGAGATTTCGTTTGAGAGATTTTCGCTGTTAATTTTTACGTTATCAGTGGCACAAAGTCGGTTGGAAACTTTCTAAGAACAACCAATTATTCTTGAAAGAATGTATCTCAAGTACTTTTTACAAAGGATTCTTGGGAGAATGTTTGATTTGTGTTTCTTTAAGGTTGAATAGATTTAAGCATGAAGCATAAAAGTGAGTTTACAATAGAATGTTCGTAATTCAAGTGAGTAAGTACTTTTCAATCAATACTTCCCTCGTGCATGAATCTCTTTGGAAGAGACATAATAAATATTTTTCAAATCATTTGCTATTGATTTCACCCACATATTTTCGATTTATTATTTATAGATGGAAAACTGTAAAGAAGTATAATGTTGTGCTATGAAATAGCCTCGGTCCTCAATAAAATATAAATCGGTCATTTTGAGGGGCGTACGCTTGAAAATTTCATGACACTTCGCCTCGTTCTGAGGGAAAGAAAAACCCTGTTGTTTTTATTGCGATAAAAAGGGTTTTGCCATTCTGGTTTTTTCCCTCTCGCACTGAAGGTAAGGGGGATTGTAAGTAATGTTTGAGATCTTGTATTGGAAGAAGGTGTATTGCTTTATTTTAGTATCCCATTTATACTTTTCAGATTTACTCTCGTGCAAAGTTTTCGGTGTGTTTTATTTGGCAAAGAGAATGCGATGGAGAAAAAAAGTCAAAAGTCTGGATGAGAGTTTTTCGCCTTTTCTAAATCATTCATGTGCTCCACGGGCTTTCTGTTCAAATTATGGCAGCAAGAAAAGCCAATGGGGAAATTTCACATACACAGCTTCCCATTTCATTTTGAATATTCTATGTCCTCTCCGGTGAAGGTGTGAGGCATACATTTGTCGAGAGAACACTGCTTCAAGATGATAACGAAAATGTGAAGAATGAATTCGCTGTTTTTTGCATGCCCCTACCCCTGGCCGCCCACTCGGCCACCCTGCGTCTCGTCTGCAAATATAAATTCTCCCCACTGTTGTTTCCAAATCCCTGAGAAACTATTCACTTGAATAATTAATATTGGAATTTCATCTGTGCGCGCTCTCTCCAGACAAGGGAGTCTGTGTGCCACAAAGTAAAAGAAGAGCTCACTCGAGGAATTTCCACTGCATTTCCACTGGCGCGACTGTGGGGTGGATCCAGGGGGAGGTTCAGATAATAAGATTCAGTGCAATTTTCATTGCTACAGTTTTCACATCTCGTTGACTCTCGGGCCCCCTTCGAAATTCAGGCGCTGGTGGCGGAGAGGACCATTTCTCATGCCCACTGCATTCCCACACAACAACTATTTATAATGTAATTCTCTTGTTAATATTACTTTATTTCCGAGGGTGAGGAAGGAGATGGGATTGTATTGTGGAAATGAGACATATTTACGTCTTTTTAATAGAATTATATTGTGCAGAGGAACACCAAAAAGCACTTTTGCATTCAACCCCAAAATTATTTGTAACTCATATAGCGTCAAATTTATGGTCAAGACTTGTACAAATTCAAAAGGAACTTTTATCAACGTGCCCGGATGAGGGTGGAAAGCAAAAGTCGGGACAGGGTTTAAGGACTTCGGGCAGTGCTCGACCTCTGGTGAAACACGATGAACTATGACCCAAGTTTAATGGCTTTGCAGAATACCTAGAAGACACCTTGTTGCCTCAAATCCACAGGCGAATTTTTAAAGGGACACAAATATTTGAGCTTGAATCTATGAATTTTCCAATATCCCCAGATTAAATTGAAACCGCTCAGATCTACCTCAATCACCTCAAGTGAACTTATTACATCTATTATTCCTATTACCCGCCATTAGTTGAGCATCCACGGAATTTCTCGAGAGTCTTTCGATTAGCATATTGCTCTGCACGCCTCGAAGAGCTGAAGATCGAGGAGCAATAAGGGAAAATGAGGGGGAATGGAGTGAAGAAATCGCATTTGGATGTTGATTAAAATTCAATTTGCTTAATTTACAAAAGTCAAAACGCTACTTTCATGAACTTTTCAATTAACTTAAATGCAAAATTACCATTTCACCACCCATGCGATGGGAGGAGGCGACACACTGCGAGCTCGTGAATGCGGAGAGTCAGAAAAAGTCCTTCAGCATTTTAGGATTATTATTCATTTTTTATTCATTCGCCTTATTGTTTGTATAATAATGAATCGGGGTGACTCGGCGCTCTCGTCAGAGAAATCTCCACTTGTGATGAGTGGGTGATTTTTGCACAGTCTCATTCCAGCACCCCAAACCGTGCCCACATGCTACATAGTATGGTGGGAAGTTTGGCATGAAGTCCTCTCCACTCTTGCGCCCATCCTGCTCACTTGGGCGCTCGACAATAAAAGTTTCAAGTTTTACATAGACGTGACGTCACGTCCGGAGGATCCTCGAGCGACTTCGACTGATGAGGAGATTGGTGGGGTGAGAAACCAAATCTAGCAGCCAGTTTTGGCACAACTCAAGTCCTTTCACTTGGAAGCGCCTCAACGCGATAGAGATAGGAGTTCTCGAGGAGCTTTTGTGAGCGCATTTCTTTCTCCAGAGGCCACCCTTCCGCCTCAAAAGCCACCGCCACCCACTCATTGTGGCGCGGTGAGAGAGCATTGAAATTTGCAAAACTCGAAAGTTTTTGATGATGGTAAATTCTTCGTTTAGTGAGTATTACATTCCATTCCACTTGTATATAGTTGTGAAGAGTCCCACTCTATCGTCAGGATGGGCTCTAATAATTCGGATTACAGTGCTGATGTGACGAGGTGAAAAAGGATGTGTGATGAAGTTAAAGGGTGATTTTGTGGTAATTTTGAGAACTCACACAGTCCGGATACTTTTCGGGCATCCAAACTCTCTTCCAAGCACTTGAACATGAATGTAATATAATGCAGATACCAATATGTGTATGCGAGCGAGGATACGAGTGAGCAAGATAGGAATAAATTGAAATGAGAAAGCGAGACTTGGGAGGGCGATACAATGATGGTTGTTGGTGGATATGTGTGAAACTATTTTGCTAAAGTATAACTGAATTAGTTTTCCACCAAGCAACAGCAACTTTGTATGTGAGGATTATATGTATAATTCAGTGGTTTAGCATCGAGAATGATGAGGTTAGTGTTGTCCTGAAATTGTTGGTGCACTCTATGCACCATATGGCACAACAGAATCCTCAACAAATCCAACGTATTATGATAAGACAAATAAAGAATTAAACATCATGCAAATTAACATTTTCGGCAGTTGTCGGCAGTCAAAATACCCATTTTTGACACTTGGCAAACACAATAAAATTAATAAAATAGCACGTAAAATAGCATCTAACGTATGGAGATGCAATTCAAATGACTTATTAAAACTTGAGCAATTTCTGCGATATCAAGGCAGATTAACATTTGAACATGGCATACATGGTACATACTCACAGCGGGAGGTTATTGTTCGCAATGAAAATTATCTGTTAGATCGTAAAATTGAAATGAGCCTGCCGGTATCGCGGCATCCGATCCCGGAATCTCCATCTCACTCCCTCTGGATTGTGTGAAATTTTGAAGGAAAGTTTGCTCTTCCCCGAAGAAATATGTGGTGAGAAAATGTTGGCTCCATATCTTCCTTCATTCTTGACTTCAGTATCATTAATTATAACCATAGAGTGAATACTCTTGCATCCATTCTCGCAGGCAACTTATTATCAATTCATTTGTGTAGCAAGTTTGGCCCCTTCATACACTCACCCCGACATCATTTTGAGTAATTGCTGCAGAGATGTGAAATATGATAGTGTGCAATCTATACCGTACATTAAACTTTTAATACCTCATTCGTGAATTAATTTCCCAATTTCTTATGCTCCATTGCAGATACTGAGGAACATTCGACAGGGTCTCCTCCAAATGGGCCGAGATGGTGGATGTGCAGGTAATTATGCGCTATAAAGTGTCAGGGAGAATTTATTTCACATTTTGACAAATGACTCTTCATTTCACTCTCATGAGCATTTTATATTCCAGATTGGAATGATAAACACTAAATTACATTTTGCCCCAGAATTTTTAACCAAAATTGAGTGCTGAATATTTAAATTGTGTTTTTAATAGTCTGCAATATTCACATGTGTGTCATTTGACAATTTGAAATTATGTGATCTTCTCTCTGTTGCTCTCAAGTCGTCTATTTGGGATAATATAAAACTTTCACAGGGATTTTCTGACATTTCGACAAATGTTGAAAAGTGATGGCAAACAATTGAAAATCATACAAAGTTTTTGAAGTTTCCCAAACGGAAGGAGACGGAGAGGGGGAACAGACTGATTTGGAGCTTTTGTGCTTCCATTGATACGTTATGTTGATTTTTGCAATTTGAACATGTCTCATGACACATAGAAAACTCGCATTTCTCTCGCATTGTGTGTGTGTGTGGAAAAATCTGTGTCTAGCATATCTGCATTGCAAAAAGTTTCACCCCTGGATAAAAACTTGAAATGTTCCCGCAGGGAAGAATATTCATGATTCATTATACAATCGCGAAATCAATTTCAAAGTTGGACCTGTTATGCATCTCGCCTGGGGTTTTGTCTGTTCTATGGCAATTGTTGAATTGATTGACATTTTGTCATATTAAAATAATAATTTGAATGTGTGCTCTTGACTAAAAATAATTGCTCTGGCAAAACAAGTCATCATCAGCATGTTTTGTGCCATTTACTGCAATTTCGGTGCTCTCTAGCATGCTTCATTTCAATTTGCTGCCGGAGGTCGTTTATGAGCGATCTTGATTGAAGTTTTTCGTTGCCTCACCGGTCTCTCGGGCATGAAACTCCTCAGCATGGCAGCAATATATCCCAGAAGCTCAACGACACTCTCACAACCTCAGCCACAAATACCCAAATTTAATGTGAGCTCATGTATGTGAGTGCTTATGGGGGAGAGAAATCTTATCAAAGTCCTACAATAGCACGAGGCTCTGGTTGAGGTGGTTTGGCGAGGGGCACATCCTGACGGGACCTGGGTTGGGCTTCAACGAAATTGAATCATAAAATTGGATTTCCGTTTCTTACTCTTGCTTGAAATTTTGTGGATGAGGTACACCCTCAGATGGATGGGTGAAAACTTTCTCCCCTCTGGTTGATACCTTCACTGTACTCAGAGGAATAGTTGGTTGTGGAAATCGGCATTTAGATATGGAGGGTTGATTTGACAAAGTGGTTAAAATGTAGGCAAAGTTTTGTCTTTGTATGAAATTTCGGCAAATAAAACTGGAACACCTTTCTTAACCTAGCATTTGAGCGTGGATTTCCCTGAGTGCAGCTCTACATAGAGTGTCTCCTAGTGAGAGGAATGAGGATAACCGCTTTGACGACCCCTTGCATATTCCCATCTTCTTAGCGCACGAGCGATTGCGGAAAACCTGAGAGAGGGAACTTTATGTGCAGGATTATGTTTTAAAAAGACGATAGTTGTGCAAAAAATTAAATTCCTGCAAAGTCGCAAGAAAATTATTTCTCCTCAGTTTTAACTTCTTTCTCAACTCACAATGGCAATTTCCATCTTTTTTTTCTTCTTCTATACGTAAAAACCTTCCACATCTCTGCAATGAAAACTATGTAGTTTAAACTTTTTCGCTACTTCCCGGCCAAATCCCTCTTGATTCGCCCTACATTGGTGGATAAATTCCCTTATGCAGGAATCCCACCTCGCTGTGCAGGGGATTTTATTTTATTAAAAATATCGTAAGTAATTTGATAGGACAGGAAAGAGACGTGAGGAGAGAAAGAGAGAGAATGTGTGTGTGAGAGTAAAAGGGAAATAAATTAGGTACGATTTGACGGGAGGATTTTGGTCTCTAAATTGAAAATTTGATATCCACTATAAATAAGCGTGAGAGGACAGTTTTGATCTTTTTAACGGCATGAATATCCCATTCAAAAGTATAATTATCGTCACATTCTCTATAAATTTACATGCGATTCCGCCAGTGTCTCCGTGTCACGCTCGATGTTGAGTATAATCGTAAATTTGTATAATAAATTGATTGCTTCAGTGGGAAAAGGTGAACAATAAAAAATGTTCCACACCCGAAAACTTTGCATTACCTCATCCAAATGGTCTGGTGAGCTCTTCTCAAGTGCACTTGAAACGCCCCGGAGCATCGTTTAATATGCCCATAGATCTCATAGTTTTTGGGCGAGACGTGTCCCACATTCACTCACAATAGTTCCTTTTGTAATCGTTTGTTTCTGGTCATCGGCAGATTTACTGCGCGAGTTGCTTTTATTGACTACACAGGAGATTGAGATGGGGTTGTGTGTTGAGAATAGAGGAGCAACGCTCTGACCGGGCTATTCTGCGTCATTTGAATTCGTGTGCCTCGCTATATCGAGCACACGACTGTATCACTCAAGGTGTGACTGCTGGAGAAACAATATCTCTATGGTCCGCACACTCGACCGCCGTTTTGTCTTACCTGCGTGTATCTATTCCGTTCATGTCTCACAAGAACACGAGTGAGAGAGAGTTATGTATCACCGAGAGCTGGAAATTTATTCATATTGCCCCGGAGTTTTGTAGCAGAAAATTTATTTTATTATTTTTTAATACAGCAAATATGAGAGTGGAATGGAGATGAATATTAACAGCTTTTTCCTCTTCTGCCACAGTAGGGAAAATTGTTCGTGTGCACGAGGAGAAATTTGTGATTACATGTTCAGAGATTTAAGTAACAAGATTTCCATTTATTTTGGTTGCCACTGCCGCTTCGCTGTTGTCTCTGGTATGCCGAAAACCGCCCCTTCAGATGATACCTACATGTACGACGACGCTGCCCGTGGTGCTCTGGGCGGAAGCCACTACCAAGGGCACTGGTATGATGAACCGCCATATGAAAGTGATCCAGATGATTTTCTGATGTCTGGCATAAATGCGGGGCCTGCGGCCACAATACAGGTATGTTTTAAACCGTACCATTTTACCTTTATGCCTTCCCCGCTCCCGAGAGCGCCCCTTTCCGCCCTCCTTCGCCGCTGAATCACCGAAAATGTTGATGAAACAGACATGCGGAGAGGAATCTCATCATAGGGCAAAATCAAATGCAAATGAGGTGAATATTTTATTATGTGCCATTGCCTTCTCTCGCTCGTCCCTCGAGCGCCATTGCATGGAAGGTGCGATTTTTAAAAGTATATAATGCCCAGGAAAGTGAAAGTATCTCATTCTATTTACATTTACACCCTCATCGTGGTGCTGTTCACATTAGGATCAAATGCAGGACACTTTGTGGGGGTTTGCATGAATAATTTCTGGAATAATTCAAAGTTTCTTGCACTTGTGAATCCGAAAATGGCATCCCAAATAAAACCTTATGGTCCTTTTGGTTGAAATTTCTCTGGGAAAATTACCCATTTCCATTAGAGAGAGACCCAAAAAGACTCTATGAGGAAACATCCTCTGAAAGCTCCTTGGCATTATTTTCCAATTTCCTGGCAACATTCTCAGGAAAATGTACAGAATCTAATTAAAATAATGCGTGTAGGTGAAAATAGACTGCGCGATAATTGAGAAAGGATGCTCCGCTCGGGAAAGAGATATTTTACGTGAAGAGGAGTGACATTTTCCTAATTTTAATTGGATTCAATTCCGGACATTTGGCTCCCAATTCCTATAACTAAACCCCCTCTTCAAATGTTCTCACTTCTTCCACGCCACACACACACACACACCCCATTCCATGGGGAGTTAATGTATTCACAACACGATTATTTGCCCTTCTCGACGAAAACGTAACTCAAATACTCATTTATAATTTGGGAAAATCAAATTACAATTCATTTCCATTGTTCCACAAACTTACAAGTGAAGTCCCCTGTTATCGCTCTTTTTGCTATCCAGGGAAAAACTTGTGCCAAACTCACATTTGCGTGAATAAGAAATTCTCACCAGCAATTGTCGGGGAGAGTATTCCGGTGGGGGGATGATTTAGTTCTAAGACGGACGGAAAAACTATCAAAATACCATATAAACTCATGGATATAGTGGCACTCGGAAAACTTTATTCCCCATTTCATTGTAGACTGCTTCTAACACCAAGGGAGTGGCGATGAGAGTTTGCCAAGTGATATCTGTAGCGTGGAGGTTTCCTTTGTGAACTTGAACTGAAAATTCAGTGAGGCAGTGTTTGGCCTTTTCAAAATTTACGGGGTGTCTCTTTCGTGTGGAGAGTACGTGAGAAATGCCATCAAAGCGTCTGCGTTTCTGGTCACTTATGCTGACCATCACAGAAAATTTGGTTTGTGGATTTTCATGCTGGCTAGTGTGCTTTGCCCGCTGAAAAGTCCCATACGAGCGCTTCTCACTGCTGCTGCCGCCGCCAACAATAATGATAATGACGTATAGAAAACACAGATGATGGGCGGGAGTCGGTGGGTGGGGATTGAAGGAGAAGCGTGAGTCCGGCATGAACTATAAATTGCGGGTGAGTTACGAGGATCATGTGTACATAATTCTTGCCCGAGGGCGAATGGTGAGGAGTCTAGGGCCAGCTACCACGAGAATGTGAGCCATAAGTTTCGGAGAGAGTCCCAATTGGGTTGATGGGGGTTGGCTGGTGCCGCAGAGAAAATGTGTCCACTGCTCGAGGGGGGATGAAAGGTGCTCGGCAAAAAGCGATTGTTAATACATCACAGGGACTGTGTAAAATGGGGTTATTGTCGTGAAAATAACTCCCATTATATTTGAAGTGGAGTCTCTGTATGAAAAACCCCCCTTTCTTCATTTTCCTTTCGCTTTTTTCGCACTACATGCCCTCGAGCAATTTCCCAGTCTAATTGTCATATTTCCCTGGATAGCATGGATATGTTAGTAACCTGTCCAGAGGACGCTCAAGGTGAAAGAGATAATTTTTCTCTTCCTTAAGTGATAAAATAGAGAAAACCCCTCCACATTTATAGCTTCAAAGTTAATTAAATTCCCCTATTTCAGCAACTGAGTCACGCAGAAACAGTTTCTCCCAAGGCAAATTAAAATACCCCTTCTCACATCCTCAGCCCCGGTCCTGCCTTTGCAAATGAAAATCCCTGAAAGTTCCAAGAAATGAATATTGTCTTGAGCACCCCAGGAAGGCGCCTCTCTAATCATTAAATTTTCCCCAGTGTATATGCACAGAAGATAAATTCTGGTCGTAAACTAATTTCTGCTTATGTGTTTTCTTCATTTGCAGGACGGTCGTGTCTCCTTCACGGCCAACTCACGGGAGAACACGGGAGTTATTTCACTGAGATCAGCCGGTGACATCTCACTGCCCCAGAGAGCTCCACCCCGGCGAGGACTCATCGTGCCACAGCACGGATCTAATCCACCTACAATAATTCCCCTAACGCATGCCAGGTGAAATATTTTTCAGCATCCTCCCCCTCCACATCCCCAACATTCTTCATCATCGTAAACTTGCCATCCTTACATTTTGCACCTCAATCGACATGCGGGGGTGGATGTTTGCCCTGGACCCAGACATAGAGTATTTGCTCAGAAATTCTCTGAATATTTAGCAAACATCTGCGTTTCTTCGCCTTCGAGGAATTTTACATCCTTTTGCTTGTCCCGCTCTCAGATTTAATCTGAAATTCAAATTAAAAGGACACCCAACCTTAGTGACTCAATACTATGGGCGTCCTCTGTGTAATTACTCTATGCGAAGAAACCTGTTCGTGGACAAGAGAAAAACTCTCTTTCGTCCCTCTGTTTTTTTTTCAACTCCACAACTCAGTGGATTGATTGAAATCTTCATGACTTTGTCAGTATCAGCGATTTTCCCTATGAAAATGTCCTGCTCGTGTAGAGAGTCACCAATTTCTGCTGAGAAACTCAATTTGCAATCAAAGCAAAGGCCTAAGTTATTGAGCTTCGGTGAGCTCTCTGGGCAATTTTCTTGCCTTCATTTTATTAGGCACAATTTGTTTTGGTGTTTATCAAGGACTGTGCAATAAGTCTTACTATCGCTTTCATTCTATCTATCCAATCTTTGCTTTCCAGCGCCTCCGCCCCCGCAGACTCTCGAAAGTTGAGGTCTAGTGTCGGTTAAATGGGTGTACGAGCCCTTCCGCCTCCCCCTCCGCTCAGTCCATATTCATCACATTCGCACTCACATTTTTTCACATGAAATTTATATGATGCAAAAGGACCCGGAATCCTTCTATGGTCCTCGTATGTTATTTTGCTGGACGGCCGGAGAGAAAAAAGGTTTTATGCTTCAATTTCAGATCACACGATAGGGAGAGTGGGGACTATGCTGGATCCGTGTCGGACATTCAGAGTGTCACATCCCGCCTCAGTACGGTTTCGGTGAGTGTTGTTTATGTGTTAGCATCCGGGAATGAAAATCAATTTCACATCGGAATGCTCCACCATAAAATAAACGCTCCAATACGCCGGGGCATTTTTGCCTCCAGAATTCTTCAAATGCTCCCTGGGTGGTGAAATTGTGTGAATGGGCGCGCGTTTGGGGTGGTTTTGGGTGGGTGGCGCGGAAAGCCCGTCGTGGAGGGACAAATGGAGCGCCTGCACCGAGAGCCAGACATCATAATTCAGAATTTTATGAGCCACCCTCCTGGTTGTAGCCCCAATTCTTCTTCTAAATATTAACACAGCACATTGGTGGTAAATATTTCACCCTGGCCGTGAGGCTCAACTGTGGGTCGAGTTGGAGGTGTTCTGGACTCGGTTATGCATGGGGATTTTTACGATTTCGGGAAAGTTTGCATGTGGAAATGAATGAAATAAAAGAAATTATTGTGTATAATATGTTGAAAAGATTTAACTGGAAGACAATGAAAAATTGGTTTTTGCAAACAAATCAAATGAATTTATTCGAAGACATGGTAATTTTTGCGAGAATCCAGACGATGAAACATTCCCCGAGTTTTGCCGTGAAATTCACTGCGTGAAATTACAAAATTCCGCACCTGATCGTCTCACAGTGAGTCTTCAGACGGTGCGGAATGGGTTGGGCAAATTTAATTAGCGGAGCCAGGCAAACGCCCAAAACTCAGACTGTGCACAATTATAATTGCAGATTGGTACAAATAATTGTACAGCCCGGTACAGGACGTTGAGCGGTGGAATTGGCGAGTCTCCATCTCAGTCGCCGAGTCCATCATCCGATTATGAGGACGATTTAGCGCATCACGGATTACCTGGTGGCATGGCCAAGAGGGCTGCTGCGCACAAAGGCTCAACAATTAGCCAGAAGGCAACCGTGCATCATGTAAGCTAATTAAAATAATTTCAACTGGGCTGAAGGCTGATGATTCTGGAGGCTTAAGTGGCTCCACTTCTTTCAGCTGCTGATTTATAAATTAAATACCCTCAGTCAAAGTTGGGGCTGTCCTCACTCTCATATAGCCGAAAACACACTTTCGGCCTCTCGAGTGGAAAATTGACCATTTATCATAATTAAAATTTGACAGGGAAATTAATTAGTGTTGGAAATGCTTTTTCTCACTCTCTATAATGTGGGTTCTATTGGGAAAAAGTTTCTGAAAGTGTATTTAAAAAGGTGGGCAAAGTTTTAACTGTGAAATGAGTGCGCGCAATAGTTGTTGGCAAAATGTGGAATATATTTCGCAACTCATTTAGTATTCGATGAGCCATTATAAAATGTGAGGAATGGGGGAAAACCAAGGTAAATTTGAAGGAGGAGTGTTTCTATTTGCCATGACTCTTGAGTGACATTCTTGAGGAAAATATGCTAAATAGAGAATTACCTTGACTGGGTATTTTGCTTGACGTCCATCTAAAGTTGTTCTTCAGACTTCTGTCCTTGTTAGACCTAAATAGAATAGAATTAATATAGTTTGTTTGGATGACACTCTCAAAGTTGAATGGCTATGCATTTACATGCAAATGGGTGGAAAAATTACTCGGAAAGGACGAGATGGCTTTCACAAACTCACCGTCTATTTTGAGGAATTGTGTTACTCACACCGACTTTGGTGGGAGCACAGAAGAAAGTGCAATGAAAAGAGATCGGAAAAGTCTTTCGAGGGAGTTTTTCCCGGTGTTTATTGTGTGTCTATCTGTCTGTCTGTCTGTCTGTCTATCTGTCTGTCTATGCCGGCTCACTATTATCAAAAAGAGCGTTTTGAAACATTTGTTTCCTCTGCTGCAAACTCATTCGTGCCTGCCTCAATGCCAAACCCTTTCCCAGTGTGTGCACTAATAGCTGAAGAGGAGAATGCATCTCCTTCAGAGATGTGAAACAGAGAAGAAGAATTTTCATACAAGAACAAGAGAAGTTTACACACAACTCTGGCTGGGAAGGCATTTAGAAAAGCTTTGATCTGCAATTGCGATAATGAGGAAATATTGAATTTGAGGGCGATGAAAATAAGTGAATTGAGCACGAAAAGGAGGGTTTGTTTGATTATATTCCCAATGCAAACAATAAAACTCTCCATTGCAATTTATTTGTAGCCTGGAGATGTTCGCAGTTCACCCAAGGAGAAGGCGGTCTTCAGTGAGAATTTGAGAAAGTTCAATGGGACAAAGGAAACTTCAAGGGACTTCAATACATCCCAGGAGAACACAGACCGAGGCAGTATAAGTGATCAGGCGTTCCCTTGCTCGGCCAGTTCCGTCGAGAGTCTTCCAAGTGCTTCTGGTTCGAGTAATTATCTCCCGAGGAACACTAATTGGATGCCCAAATTAAAGTCCGATTTTCCCTTGCAGGTACGCAAGCTCTTGTTCGGCCCGGGAGTCCGCACAGCTCACTCTCGGATGACCGGAACACTTTGCCACCCATCTGTATAGCAAAGGCTATTGTAGATAGTTTACCGAATCCGTACGACAAAGAAGCCCTCCGCTTCAAGGTAATATACTTATTGCTGTTCGGGAAAGTTTCATCCATGTTGAAAATGAGTGTCTTTTGTGTTACAGAAAGGTGATATTATAGATGTAATCTCGATGAATGCTTCCGGAATTTGGCGAGGCCGATGCAATGGACACACAGGACATTTCAAATTCATCAACGTCGAAGTTCTGCCAGATCAGCGGCGAAAGGTGAACAGCAATCTCACACCATGTCGAAATCCCAACAGTCCGGTATCCGTGGAGGAACTACTGGTGAGAATTGGCCTGAAGGAGTACACTTCGGTATTTGTTCTCAATGGCTATGAAGACTTGGAGCTGTTCAAGGAATTGGAGCCTGCAGACTTGGATTATCTGGGAATTCTCAACAATGATCACAGAGCAAAGCTGCTAACGGCAGTCCAACTCCTGCACGACATGGATTGTAAGTGTTATCCTGATGCTGAGATTTTATTTTTTGATGAGTAAATAAATATTTGTCATCCTTCCAGCTAATTCAGATGGAGACGTTGCGGGTTCCAGTTCGGAGAACGATGAAGCTCTTCGTCGCAATCACATTGCTTCTCTCAAGCATCCCTCATCTCCGTTCGGTCGACGCCACTTCCCGCGGGATTCCGGCTGCTACGAGGGTTCTCCGGTCCCTGCGGGCTCAGCCAGTCAAATTATGCCCGTCGATGATGCTCACAGTCTCGATGATGTGGTCACGCAGTGCTCCAATGAGATTATGAAGCGCGTTGAGAATGCACGACGCCTGAAGGAGGAGAAGGGAATGCCACCCAAAGGGATGCAACGAATGGGGAAGAAGGGGTTACTCGGAGGAAGCGCCGGAAGCACTCCGGATGAGGGCATATGCTCTCGTGGCGGCGGGGCTCTGAGCGAGAAATCCAGCGATTCTGGGGTCAGCAGTAGTTCCCTGTCTTCTGGTCCAATGAAGAACATCACGTGAAATATACTGCAAAAGTTATCCAAGTAAGTTTGCTCCCTTCCAGCGTGTGGCATTGTTTAAGCTTTGCGTTGCCTGAATCAACAATCACCCATTCCCCATGACTCTTGAGCGAGAGAGGGCTTGAGAGAATCATGGAAAAGTTTCAAGATTATCGCACTGTGCTAGTGAATCGCTCGAAATTATGCAAATAGAGGCAACAAAATGCAAATGGCACGCGAATTGGCAATAATATTGCAGCAATTCGTGGCAATTATATATTTCTCACAGAAAGAGAGTCTCCTGTAGGAGTTCCGCTGAGCTCCTCCAGGAATGGTGTAAAATTAGTCCATGGCGTGGGGGAGAAAGAAAAAATTGCTCTACATTCTGTTCAATTGCACTGGCTGCAATGCCAAGCAATAATGGCGTAAAAAGAAGAAAGGAAGGGAACTCAATTTACACATAAAAGGAACAGGTGAAACCTGTCATGGAAGAAGAACACTCTTGAATATTCATTTGAAACTCCTTGCCACGAACCACTTGTGTGAAAATGTTTATTTTCTGCACACGTAAAAACTCAAAACAATAAGGCATAAATCAAACTAAGAATCTCAAGTACTTAATAAGGGATTTGGAGTATATATGTATAATGTTGTTTGTATAATGTTTCAACGGACACTGCCACTTAAAGAACCTCCAATTGATCCATCCAGAACGTTGCATCTTGAGTTAAACGCTCTCCTGAGTTGACACACATTTTCAAAAATTTCAAGCAATCATGTAAAAATAATTTTCTCAACATTCCCCTTACGAATCTTAATAAAACTTCGAAAGCAATAAATCATAGTACGATAAATAGGACAATTTGTACATACGATCTTGATGAATGGGAAAGAAAGCGCCCAAGACTGGGTCTTCTAAAGGTAGCGTGACAAAGACAGAACAATTGAAAAGTGTGAAAGTAGGCTTTTTAAAAGAATCTAAATCAAAGAATCTTTTAACTAAAGAGATATGTATTTTCATCGACATTCTTTCACATCTAATCACATTAAAATGTGAGACGAATAAAGGGACAATTACTGCAGCTTAAGGAAACGAATTGTAGGTTTAAAAAGAATTTATCATATCTGTGGTGGAAAATTTAATGAAAGAAAACATTGTAGAAAACATAAACACTAAACAATGAAAAGTATATAATATCAATTCAATGAAGACAACAATAAATTTTTGCGAAAACTTTTTACTAACACATTTTTATTGTAAAGTTTTCAATTTTTGCCTAATTAGCTAGACTTTATCATTTGTATAATTGTAACGCTGAGAAATCTAAGAGAAAACTGAAACTTCAGAAACTGTTATTGAGATGTATAGTGTTAGTTTTGTACACTTTATCTAACAATTGTAATGATCTGAAGACTATATTTGACAGCATAAGTAATTTATACTTTGTATAATCATTTTTATACTGTTATTGCATTTATTTATGAAATCACAAGAAGATTCTATCGCTATTGTAAGTAAAATAATAATGATAAAATGTCGCCAAAATTTATTTCACTCACAATGTGAAGAAGCAACCAAAAATGTATAAAGGAAGAAATTTAATATGTTATAGCTGTAATATTCTAATATGATATATATTTCAAATTATTAGGTGAAAAATGTGACGAAGAGAGGAAACAAGATGAATATTTAGTCATATAATAAAATTATATTGGGTTGATAAGCAGAGCAGGAGGTGTGAAATGGAGAGTGGAGAAGTTGATCAAGGACGAGACAGTTGAGTGGACTTAAAGTTAAACCTAAAGATGGCAAATTAACAGAAATGATATTTTATTGTACAGACCATTTCAATGATATTCTTTCAAATAGCAATTAAAAAGTATTCTATAGCAGATGAGAAAGTGAAATAAAACAATTAGAGAATGAAACTCGACTGATCTGACTTTCTGGTGTTTTATTGTGCAATAAAAAAAGAGTGGCGAATTAAATCTAAAAATTTCGAGCTAGTAGTGGAAAGGCACAGTTTTCACGGCTCAAATTGGGGCTGATTGAGCTTCTCCGTCACATCTTCGCTCTTCATACCGTTCTCTTCGTATTTGGGCTTTGGCTTGGCGTCTTTCGGTGCTCTCGGGTACCACCAGAAGGGCTGATTGGCGCCAAATTCTTGGGCCTCTTGGAGTGTTTCCGGTAGCTTCTCGTGCAGGGTTTCAGGAAGGAAGAGACTGGACACGGCGCCGATAACCAGAAGTACACCCATTATCATGAAAGGATAACGGGCATCGAAGTTTGTCCCCTGAAAATTGTAGACCAATTTTTAGTCATGGCACTCAATGGTTTACTAATCCATTTATGCTGTCTATGCTTCAATAAATGAGAGAATATTTCTGGATTATTGAAATAAATGCATTGACCTGAATTTTGCAACAGCTCCACATTCACAATTGAATATGTTCATGCCTCACTTTTTACACTTTGTAATGTGAAATGGACGGGATGGAGAAGTGATGAACTCACCAGATACACGATGTATGGACCCAGGACTCCGAGACTATTGGCAATAATTGCACCCACGGAGATTCCAGTTTGCCGCAGGCACGTTGGATATGTTTCCATGGATTGCAAATTAACAGCAAAAAAGTTGATGGTGATGGCGAACTTCACAAAAACCGTGAATGCTGTGGCGTAAAAATCCAATTCTGTATCTGCATGGGACAAAGGGATTAGTTGATATGTGGATGGAATTTAATTTCGAGAGCCGTGCATTACTTTTCACCATGTATATGACCGGGATGCACCCCAGTGCGGCCAGGAGGAAGCCAATGGCGTTGGTGTAGCGCCTGCCGATGACGTCGCCCATCTTCTGTCCAATCACCGAGGCAGGGAGCTCAATGAAGCTCTGCCAGAGGAAGTTGACGAAGGGATTTCCTCCCATGCGCGAAATGTTGAGAATGATGGATAAGTAGACGATGCAGCAGATGGACCAGCACAAGACCAGCAAGCTGGCGTTCTTCGCGAGGCGCCAGCTCGAGAACAACGACGCCAGGCCGTAGACCTTCTCCTCAGATGTGTTGGGCAGCATCTGCGTGAGGAGTTTCTCTGTGATTTCCACATCTTTGCCGTTGATCTTGGCTATTCGGTTGAGCTGCTTGGCGCAGTCCTTGTAGCGTCGCCGGTTGGCCAGCCATCGCGGCGACTCGATCATGTACTTGGGGAAGAGGGCGAAAATGCCGTAGGGCAGCGTCGTCAGGGCGATGAGCCACATCCAGTCCCGAACCCACCAGAACACCATGGGCATTATGCACAGGCCAGCTGTCCATCCGATGCACTGCATCATGGCGATGTGTGCTCGAGCCTCACTGCAATCATCAACAAGACACATTAAAGCACGTTCACAGTGATTGGGTTGTGCGACAAAAGTGGGGGTGGATTAAAGTGCTGATTATGGAAAATATTCCAAACAGCATTTGCATATCGCCGATGCGACAAAACAGTGTGATTAGCATAATGTGCATATTTATCATCGCATATACAGTTAGGAAAAAATTCGATTTTTTTTTCAAATTCCAAATTAACATTGATTAAATAATAATTAATTGTATTGTGTATGGTAGAAACATTGTAATAATTTAGAATTGAATTGCAAAACATCACTTGAATCGATACAGTATTAAAGGGGATTTCCAGGCGATCTGGGAAATAATTTTCGGCCTCAATTCCACATATGTATAATATTGTCTAACATAGAATTATGTCATACTAACTCATTAGATGTCTCCATGGCGATAATTAGGGGTGACTGAAAGGCAGAATTAGTGGCACAGGAGCCCAACGATGAGGCAATTGCGAACAAGATGAAGAACGATGAGGTGAAAATGGACAGCATTCGACCGGAAATCGTCAAAACTACGCTGATATAGTATACTATCCGTCGTCCATGTCTGCAAAGAGAGCAAGAGAAGCAGCACATTGTTAGTAAATTTGCTGAAGAAATACTCAATACAGAGAGGCAGCAAGTGAAGGGGAAAATATGAGCTTGTCACGCACTCGATGGGTGACAGAGTGATTGGGCCCATTTTCCTTGATGTGGTGTGTGGAGGTTTTGTAATTTGAAATTGCCACAAGAGAGGTGCAGAGAGTGAGAGACAGGGAGAAGAAGCCTTCGATCCCCATGGCATGGAAGGAAAAGTGTTAATGCGAGAGATACGTTTGAGTGGAGATGATTTTTGCATGGTGACTTCTTGGGAATATCTCGTAAATTTGTAATAAAATGAAATGGAATTGTGCGGCTTTTCCATTTTCATTTGACATGCAAACATTCAATAAAGTAGCGACTTTGGAAAATCAATCCGATTCCAACAATCCACCCCCGCCTCTTGGGCTCCCCCAGAGCTCTCTCAGATGGCGTATAGCTTCCATTTGTGTACATACTTTGTCGCTTGTACCACCGATCGGATATTTGTGTGCCACTTTACATGGTCGCATACTTCCACTTTGGCAATTCCATTCGGAGGGAAGCTCCAAGGAGCCACACCACCGGGCCGTGATGGGATGGCAAAAGACGGGAAAGTGCTATAAATTGTCAACAGCACAACAAAATTGAAATTGGCTTACGTGTCACCGAGTTGACCAAAGATAAACGTTCCTAAAACTTCACCAATACGACTGAACACAAATGTATTTGTGACGTAGAGATCCTTCTCGCAGACCCAATCCTCCTGGCTCACCGCTGTCCTCTCATACCACTGCTTATCGTAAGTGTAGCCATGGACACAGCCTATAAATAAGCACCGTAAATTACGAATTCTTTTGCTCCCTTCCTTCGGCGTGACTTCAAATCGAAGAGGAAGTTGTGGACAATGTTCTGAAGAGTCTAACTGGCGAAGAATATATTTTATATACTTTGAATTTTTATGCAAAGCACAAACGATATGCATTCTGAAGAGCCTATAGACAAATCTAAATCTTCAGCCTATAGAGTTAATTAAAAATCAACTCAAGTAGAGATCAGAGTGATTTTGCGCCAATAATTGGCAGACTAAAGTATTTTCATTCAATCCTGTTGAAATGCAAAGGTCGAGGGAGACGACAAAGGCAGAACCCCTGATATTCATTTTAAAATTCCTTAAATCCACATTTATTGCACGTGCAGTGCTGCGAGAGGGGGAGAATGTTTGCAGAGATGATAAAGGGTAGAGGTCAGATTTACTGTAAAATACTTTACAAATTCCTAGTCATGTCGGGGGGCGCGGGACAGGCATGTTAGGGACACTTTTCAGTGAAAAACCCTCACCATAGCGGAAAGAATTGAAAATCATTCGCCGGAAAATGCTTAAATGGATTCCATGCAAATACAGGAAAAAGGAAGAAATGGGAGAAAAGGGTCAGAGAATCGTCCGAGTTGTATATTGAAAAGAAAAATGCAGAAGGAAAAATTATATGCTTTCTTCACTTTCCCTCAAATGGAATTTCTTGTATAAATTGATTTTACTTTACATATAATTTTTTAGAAAATGCCATCGCGCAGAGGCATTGAAGTGGAGAATCGTTTTATCGGTCTTTAAGATTAGCACAAAGTGCTTTAGATTGTCTGCAATGGTACTTTGAGGGAATCTGTCTGAGAGCATTTTCCTAATGATATTTGCTGACAAGGAGTGGGTTTTGTCCTGCCACAGCCCGAAGATGATCCCTGAAATTGCACGACCGGAGGCAAAGTCCCCTTGATGTTAACCTAATCGATTCCCCAATCGCATTCTCATTATTCGCAGTGTCGTCTGCACTGAGTTGGGGGTGTTGCCCAACTGTGCAGATGTTGACTCAGGCCAGGAGACAGTCTTCGACAATTGCCACTATGGAGAAAATTAATATGGAAATTGTGTACAAATATACGAACTAATTGGCTCATTGAACCCCTCTGCCCTCTCTGTGGTATTCGACAAGATTTGCTGGACATCCACACCAGTGACGTTGTACATGTCGCACGAGCTCAACACCTCCATGCCCCGGTTGTCCATCTCCCTGGAATGAGAAGAACTCTTGTCAGATACTGCAAACGGACATTGACTCTCATTTTGATATTCTACGGGACTCAATGTGACATCGTCTCTCATCCCGAGGCGTATCACCAAGGCAAACACTCGGCATCACTGTTGCGAAATGTTATGCATCCAGGATATTAGCAGGATGTTGAGTGACGAATGAACGCAAGAGGCGCCGGAAGTGTTGCTGTTTGACGTCAAGGAAATATTTCATAAAATTTCATCCCTCGCGCACTCATCAAGAGTGCACCACGTAAATAATTGCAGCTGCGGATTTATGATGAATTATTACTCTTGATTCCCTCCGGATTATTTGTCTTAAGATACAGTGAGATGCTAAGAATACTCAAGAATTTCACAATTGTTTGAAAAACCGAAGCAACACTGCCTGATCCGTTGCCTGATCTATAAGTAAACAGTTGCTCTTAGAGCTTTAAATAAGGAATTACTCTTTCATGAGACTTATGGTAAGCCATCTTATATTTTATCGCACAAGGATTTTCCGGTAAAGTGTGCTTTTCTGTGACGAAAAGGTGTATATTGCGCAATTAAAAGCAATTGAATTCTCAATTAATTGCGTAAATTAGACCAACTTAATAGAAAATGACTTTAAACAACTGCGAATAAAGTAATTTCGGAAATTTACTATCATTCGAATCTAAAATTGTCATTATATGCTTCCATAAACAGAGAACACCATGAATATTATTTTGCTCTCTTGAAATCTTATGACTTGCTTGTGGCTTACCTGGGCAACACGATTTTATTCCACTCCTCCAGGGTGAGATTTGTGTTCTCGCGACCGGGCACATGGCAGAAGTGATCAGGGACGCTGAGGGCCAGGATGATGTTCATGCAGGCCATCGAGGCGAATATAATCTGTCCCACATTGAAGATGTAGTTGAAGCGCGTCTGGAAGGCTCCCCTGTCCCCAACCATGGCCATGATCCTATCGAAAACAGCATCTTGAGCTTCCGCCATTTGTGAGCTCCAATCGTGTCCTCCTTATCGTCTAATGGTTGAAAACTTTTCCTCCAGTCACTCGTGCAAGGATTTTCTGCGTGTACAGCACTCCTCAAGGATCTGAAGCACATAGAAGACGAAGGAAAAACTTTGGCTTCCATTCAATAAGACGCTGAAATGCTCTTGAATGCTCAAGAGGAGCGAACCATCGCCGAGGAAAAGGAAGAAGAATGTGAAAGATAACAAAAATATTTAACTTTTCGTGTGTGATTCTCCAAGATTGTGCCTCTTCACCAGGTGAAAGATTAACTTCTCTCTCACGTGAGTGATTTATGCGAGAGAGCAACAGAATGTTACACGAGGGCAGGGGGAAATGTTCACAACTCATCTATTTGCCCGGCAGCTTATATCTAATTTCGTCATGAACGGCACATGCTTTGGCGGGGGCTTTCCGGAAAATATGACTCTCCCACAGCCTGTAATCCATTGACTACTGGGCGTGGAGCGCGTTGGCGCCAACCTGAGGATTTCCCGCTGTAGCAATCCTGCCGAAATGGCTCGTGTGGCACTGGGAGAACATTGCGGAATTAGCAGTGGCGCGAATGCAAGTGAGGAAGTTCAAGGTCTGATCTCCATCCCAAGGTCTATTAAGCTGCGTATTACGGCCAATTTAACTCGATTAGGGCCTCGAGATAAATTTAACGCGTGCTTATCTCACGCCAAAGTGGCGAGAAACTGCCACTGAGAAAGCTCCCGTGGTGCTTTTCCCGCATGGAAAAGGTGCGGATGCTTTGTGAGCTTTCGCAACAAAGAAGCGCCTTTATTGCCACATTGAACAATGCTATTGTTCTCCCTATCACAGCAGCATATTAAATCCTTCCCGATGACGTAATTAAACACATTTCTGCAGGCAAGGAAAAGCTTCTACTTGTGTAGCCATAAATTTGAGATTTTGGCGAAAATAGTTCGAGCATCCCAGGAATTAGTATCTATGTGTATAAAAAATTAATTATTTTAAGTGCACTCTCAATATTGTCACAGTGACGCATTTCCCTTACAATCAACCACCCCTTTGAGCTTCTCTGAATTTAATTACCACAGCTTCCTATTATGTTCCCTGCACTTGAGAGTAATTTCAATTGCAAGTAATAACGGAGCCCGAAAATGCAGCAGAGAAGAAAACCCCCAGAGACATGGAAAATGAATATTGATATGGAAACTCGGAAGTTTCTCCGGGAAAGGAAGTTTTTGACTCAGGAATATTCCACAACTTTGCAGTATCGATGCATTGATCCGTAATTGTATTACCATGAGAGGGCGCAAAACTTATCACTAAATCACCAAAAGCACTGTGCGAGATTAACTTATCACTCAGAGTGTCTACTTCTGTTGTGAGTTCTCACTTCACTATCTGAATATTCAATTGGGAGAGCGTCTGAAAAGATTTGTCTCAATGTGCGAACTGGACATGAGACCCGGAAGGTTTGCCAGCGACTGATCGCGATCCTCGAGTGCGGAGAGACATCTCACACGCTGTAATGGCTGTTATCTCAGCACACTGGAGCACCTATTTAGCGTTGACAAATAGGAGCTTTATCTGGTTGTCTCAGTGGGAGATTAATGGCTCGTTATAATTAAACACATTATTTGATTGTCCCGCGCTGAGAGTCAGTCAACAGGGCAAGTAAATTTGGAAATCTCCACCATCTCACCACCTGTCTGATCAATTTGCACACATTTCTATGGAAAATTATTTTGCGATTTCGTGACATTTTGCCACTTTTCCCGCGCCATGTGGGCAAAATCTCCTCGCGCGAAGGAACTTTGAGAAGGTATAATTATTCAATCATTTTATCACATTTGCTTAGCCCAATAATTGAGGCAATTGATGGGCGGAAGTTCGAGTTTCTCTATTTATCTATCTGAATGTCGCTGTGAGGCACGTCTCAAAGAGACATGTTCAATTACATCAACTGTGGGGGTGTCAAGAAGTTGAGCAGCCAACGAAATGAACTCATGTGGAAGGTCTATGCGAGACATGTTTGTATTTTTATCAAATGGATTTGTATCGAAATAAAAATATCAAGTGGCTCACAAAAGTTTTTATTCATTAAATTGCCGGCTATTCCGATAATTGGATGACGTCGCTTGCCAAGAAGCAGCAGCTGAGATTCACTGGACATCATTTGGGCAGCCGAACGGTCCCATGGCCTCGAAGATTATATCGTTTATCTGGTGGGTATCAGGAAGGAAAATTTATCATGTGTGAAATCCTCAAGCACGGTGAAAAGAGCTTCTCTGCCAGAGTTGACAATTGGCGGTAACGTGCCTTTTCCAGATATCAATTCAATTCCAATATCGTTATCTTTGACTCCTCAATATTTTGGAATCATGATAAGCCAATAGGATTTTTAACAATGCAGAGAAGAATCTGCAAGTCACTTGATTTTCTGTGACCATGACCGAGCGGAAAACGGTCTAATCAAAGTCTAATCTTATCTCCCATCCGCTATCTAAGCTCTCTTCAGCTCAGCTTGGGTCAGTATCGGAAAAGAGCACCTACTTGAACGTTCTCTGGCGTTCCAAGTGCATAAATTACTGCGTCCTTCACCTCTTCGGCCGTTAATTTGGGCAGCGGAGCGAGAAGCCCCGAATCGAAGGCGTCCAGCATGGGAGTGTCCACCAATCCGGGGCAAATATTCTGGCAGAGAGAAGGAATCATGTAGCGAAACCCTTGGGCACTTCCTCCAGATTACCTCGACCTACCGTCAATTTAATTTCCGCTCCGTGGAAGCGGAGCTCCTGCCGCAGGGTCTGGGACAGGGCCGTGAGGGCGAACTTGGTGGCCGGATAGACGTTGAGCTTGGGCTGGGGCACGTCTGGGATCCTGTGGCCAAGGACGCTAAAAGGCAATGGAGGGAGAAGGGATTTACACGGCCTTTCGTGGGAGGACGGGAAATTTGCATTGCGAACCTGTTGATTATGATAATATGACCCTTGAACGTCCTCTTTCGCATATCCTTGATGGCCTCCTTTATGCACACGACCGATGCCCACAGGTTGACGTCCAGAATCTCCTTGAACGGCCTCAAATTGTCCTCTGATTGTCACCCAAGAATTGTATAGAGAGAATAAGGAGAGTGTTTTAAGTAAATTGCCATAGAGATTCACTTTGGCGAAACAAACCGATTAAATATGCAGCTCTGAATAATCCAGCATTACTGATAAGAACATCAACTCCTCCAAAGTCACTTCTTATCTTCTCGAAGGCACTTTTCACCTGACTTTCGTCCGTCATATCGCATTTTACCGCATGAATGCTCCCACTTCCTGTGACTCTCGAGGTGAGTTCCTGTAATTTCAGGAAATCCATAAATATCCATCCGCTTTAAGACTCTCATGTGGGGTTGTTTCTCACCTCCACCAGGGCATTTCTGCGCGCCAGACCCACGACTATCATCCCTGAGTTGGCCAGAGCTATCGCCACAGTGGCTCCGATGCCTGTAAAACAGATTTTCGATATTCTTGCAAAGCATCCTCAATTTATAATCCACTTAAAATTACCGAAATCGAAAGAGAACGTTCAAAAGCACAAGAAAGCTAACACAGATTCTCACCTGAACTCGCTCCTGTTACAACAGCCACTCTTCCTGTCCATCTGTCCATTGAATTTGGTCCCAAAGAACTTCCAACTAGACTTTCTATAGCTGCACTTCAAAGTAAAATGCACAATCACAGAGCATAAAGCCTCTTTTATAGCATGAAACATGAGAGAAGCGGCAACCTTGCCGCTCTTTCTTACATTTCAATTCTACTGACCACAGAATTGCAGCGATAGAGATGCGGGATTGACATGATTTGCCCGATTTGCCTATTGTGGGAATATTAGCTGGCGCATTGGTGAAATATCTCGTCCATCGACCGTGTCTCAGAAGTGAATTCGCATCAATTGAGAGCTAATTTAATACACGCAATTAGAGCAAATTGCTAGCAGTCTAGAAGCTTTCACCGTCTTCTGACTCATACATATCAAGTCAGATGAAAAGAATAGTAATTTAATATGATGTTGGATCAGGTATTGTGGCGTGATGTCTTTCTTCCAGTGGAAAATTATTTTTACTTCCAAATTTCGTCACTTGTACACGTTTTCAAATTCATATCTTCATGAGAATTTCTCTCATTTTCCGCAGATGACTCTCACGTCGCTTGCGAGGAATATTTTAGCTTTATAAACCCGTTCACTAGCGGCGCAGCGATCAATAGAACTTTCAGAACTTCCTGTCATTTGTCAACCACGTCTACGTCTAGATTAATTCTTTGATTTTTATAGTTATTATTGCTTTGTAATTCAACTCTTGTGCACAATCACAAAGGTACTACTACTACGCACTTGTCTACGATAAAATTTTGAAAAATTCGCAAGTGAATTAGGTGAAAATCGCTGTGGGAAAAATCCAGCCAGCATTGTGATGACATTCTCAGTGTGAGCGCCCCTCGCGGCGCCGTTGCGAAGTCGAAAAGTGAAAATTCATTTTTTGGCGAAAAGTGGGGGCTCGAGGGGGCACACTTGAGCTTCCGGGAGTGGCGAGAAGGTCAGATAAGTGATCTGTTGTGTTTTGTCTTTGCAGATATTCGTCGGGAAGTTCAAAGATGTTCATTTGGGATTGGTTTACTGGCGTTCTAGGATACCTCGGTGAGACTCATTGTCCATTGTCCCGTATGTTGTGGGCTTCAGTGGAGCTGGGAGAAAGCCTGGTCAAGTCGGTTTACGACACCTCAATTGTTGCGTAAAGCGATTGGGTGTTACATCGTTTGTCTTCCGGGCTTCGCTGGGACGCGCGCGAGACGCTAAATGACTGCAATGTGTGTTTTGATCTCTTTGGCAGGTTTATGGAAGAAATCCGGGAAGCTGTTGTTCCTAGGACTAGATAATGCTGGTAAAACCACTCTGCTGCACATGCTGAAAGACGATAGATTGGCACAACATGTTCCGACGCTGCATCCCAGTAAGTTTGGCACAGTTTTCAGCCCGCGAGAGCGTGACTAAGGGCTTTTCCGCTTGTTGCAGCATCGGAGGAACTGTCCATAGGCAATATGCGCTTCACGACATTCGATCTCGGCGGCCACACTCAGGCGCGCCGCGTGTGGAAGGACTACTTTCCGGCTGTGGATGCCATCGTGTTCCTGGTGGACGCCTGGGACAGAGGCCGCTTCCCCGAGAGCAAGATCGAGCTGGATTCGCTGCTGACGGATGAGGCCCTCTCCAACTGCCCCGTCCTCATTCTGGGTAACAAAATCGACAAGCCGGGCGCCGCGAGTGAGGATGAATTGAGGAATTTCTTCCAGCTGTATCAATTAACCACGGGAAAGGTGAGTGACTGAGCCTGAAAATCCCACCTTGAATCTGCTTTTTCTGACTGTTTTCCTCCATTCAGGGTAAAGTGGCGCGGTCAGAGCTGCCCGGGCGTCCCCTGGAGCTCTTCATGTGCTCCGTCCTCAAGCGACAAGGCTACGGCGAGGGCTTTCGTTGGCTAGCTCAATACATTGACTAAGTTTGTCCCTGCGCTTCTCACGTTTCCATCAAACCGAGAAAAAAAAACAACATTAGCGATCCACAAGAAAGTCTCAAGTGTGTGGAGCCAACAAAAACCGATGAAATATTCTTTTTGAATATTCAGTTTGTCCTCTTCTTTTCACAACGTTGTACCATTGTAATCGCTGATAAATTCGTCATGATGTAAATTACAGAGGAAAGCAGCAAAAACAATTAGTTTCTATTAGGTTTCTAATGGTAAAAAGATCAACTTCAATTTGGGGGAAAATCGATGAAAATAAATTTATAAAGTCGGAATGATGAAATCAACAAGTTTTTTTTTATTCAACAATTGTGTAAAATAAATGCACTTTCGGCTCCTGGTTCGTTTCCTCAGCCTCACAGCTTCGCACTCAGGATGTCCTCTGGGCTGGAAAGATGACAATGAATTAGTGAAAATCTGCTTCCGCGGTTGTGAAAATAGGTGTGAATGGAAAATTTTGAGCCCAAAACCTCGCTAATTGAATCAAATTGGGTGACCCAGCATCAGTTTCATTACAATTTCAACTCTTCTTCCAGTGGCTTGAAGAAGGCATCCACGTGTTCATCCGTCACAGCTTCCAGCGTGGCTGGATTCCACTTGGGCTGATTGTCTCTGTCCACGAGCAGCGCTCGAACACCTGCAAGAAGCATACAAATAATTCAGCTTTTGACCTCTACAGAAAACTCGTATGATGAATTCCCACCTTCTTTGAGGTCACTGTCTTGGGCATGACGCACTGCCAGCCGATACTCCATCAGCAGACACTCGGGAAGGGTCAATTTGGCACCCAAATCGATCTGCTTCTTGCTCACTTTCATGCTCGTTGGGGACATTTTGGCCAGAGTCTTGAGTATTCCCTGCGCCCACTCGGAATTATCCTTCCTCAAGCGCTGCAGAATCTCCTCAACCGTCGCGCCGCTGAAGCACTCATTGATCTGCGACATGTACTTCTCCAGGACGAACTCCGTAGAGTCCTTGGGACAGAATTTGGCTAGAGTTTGAGAGACTTCCTGATCCGAGGAGCACTTGCAGAGTTCAGCCTCGAGTTCTGGGATCTTCTTGCTGTCACAGAAGTGCGTCGCCACGCCACTCTTCTCCACGTCACGACCCTTCAGACGCACTCCTGTGAGGCCCAGGAACATACCGAGTTTCCCGCGAAGGCGGGGAAGGAAGTAACCGCCGCCGACGTCAGGGAAGAGGCCGATAGCTGTCTCGGGCATGGCGAAGAGGGTCTTTTCGGTGGCCACGCGGTATCGTCCGTGGACTGAAAGCCCCACGCCACCTCCCATTGTGATCCCGTCAATGAGTGCCACGTATGGCTTTCGGAGAGCCTGGATTGTCGCATTAACGGTGTACTCTTGGTGGAAGAAGGCCTTGGCTTTCTCGAAGTCACCGAACGCTATGGCATGCACGTCCCCTCCGGCGCAGAAGGCCTTCTCTCCCGCTCCCTTGATGATGATCAAGCTCTTGGTCTCGTCAAACTTCTTGAGGGCTGGATAAATTTGTCTGAAATCGAAGCACATCTCTGTCACATACCTTCCAGACACGCAGGAAAAGCGATTTCCCACCTGACCATATCCAGATTGATGGCATTGAGAGCCTTCTGACGATCCAGAGTGATTATTCCGGCATTGCCAACTTCCTGCAGGACAACAGTGGGCGAATTGTCAGGATTCGTGGCCATTCTCCGGGCATACTTCGCTACTGACACACCGCTTCTAACCCCTCTGGAAATCATCTGCAAGTCAGCAATAAATTAAACACCTGTTGGTGAATCAATCAACTGCAAATTACCATCTTTTTACGAAATTATGTAATCCCCAGCAAGAAAACAACACGCCACCTAACCTCATTTCCGCGTCCGGCAGAACATCGCCTGTGTCGCCCGCCAGAGTACTCTGGCGACCGTTGGGCGTTGTTTTGGGTATTTTAGGCTAAATTCCAAAATGGCGTCACACCTCTTGTCGCTTAAGGTGTATCATTTCGGTATTTTATCAAATTAAAATGATATCATCTGGGCAGGGTCGCGAAGTGTAGTGCGGAAAAAATGCAGAAAACCTCCGTGAAGTGATTTAGCTCGCGTGACACTTGAATTTGCATGTATTTTGTCTGGAAAAGTGACCCTGGAGAAAAACAATCTGCGGAGTGGCATTTCGGTGGCTTTTTTGCACACCACAAGACCAACGAGTGAGTGAGGAGGAGAGCCAGTGACATAGAAAACTCCTATTTTTGCTACACACCTCGAGAACTTTCCCATTGGTGACGCACAAGCAGCCTCTTCCTCCTTCATCCTGTCCGGTGACATCGACAAAGAATGGATAGTCTGGCGACACGAAATAGTGGTGAGTTTGAGTGCCTCAGGAGCTTCCGGGGGGTTCCACACTGTTTCCCTGGTGCACTGAACCATCTTTGTGCTGAAGAGGGTGTAAATAGAACAGCTCTGAGGGTGTGAAATTGGGCAGTGAGCTTAGGAGTGAATGCACGAAGAAAGGCCGCCACGAGGTTGAGTCAGAAGATATCTTCTGACGACTTTCCGGGAGCGTCTTTGGTTTGGGGACAAAGAAAGCGGAGAAATGTGTTCATTATGACTTGGGCAGGGCTGCAAAGAGGTCAGGAAAAGTGTCCCCAATCGTTTCCATAGCATTTCCTCTGACCCAGTTGTCAACGCATGTCCTTTCGCTGAACTGAGGAATACCAATAAAAATGTGAAACGACAGCAGTTAGTCAGGATCGTATGAACATATTTGTTTTATCTAGCATGTTTCCTATTGGATTTGATATCTATAGCATATCGTTGTTATGTTTTAAGTCAATTTTCCTGCAAATTCCTTTATTCTGTTGAATTAATCTCTCGAAACTGCAGGAAATGTTAAACAATCGCAATGTAACAGACAACAAAGCGTGTCTGTAATAAAAAAAATTTTTATTTTCAATCAACTTGTTGACATATTCTGGTAGAATTTTTGCAATTCAATGCATTCAAGGTAAATGCATTGTGATTAGATAATATCCGTGCCTCAAAGCATGCAAAACTTGCTCATCTCTGCCAATAAATTCTCGACATTCTCGCTTATTGGCAGAAATTTGACGTTTGGAAAGAACTTTATTAGTCACAATGTTTACAAAACTGTAATAGATGAAATATGCCGCCTTCATAGTGAAGGTTTCTCGACTCTTGGGAAGGGTTTTCCTTCTAATCCGGTCGCTTTTGTGTGGTGAAAAGTTGATTTCCTTGTGGCGTAAGAAATCCCATCCGAATTGAAGCACAAAAGCACGTCAAGTAGATCAAATTCCATTTAAGGGGAAACGCTGCGGTCGATAGATCTCTGAGCAAAATTGCATCAAGTGCCTTCTTGAGCGAATAATTGGCGACGGTAAAACTATTAATTAAAAATAGTGTGTCTGGAGCGAAAGTAACTTTCATCGCAAAATCTTGGGTGCGATGCTTTCAAATAAGGGGGAAGAAATGTGTATACATTTTCTACCACAGCCCATTATCTTTTTTTTTCTTCTTTTTCGCCATTTAATGTCATTTGATTTTTATGTTCAATAACAATAAAATTTATTATGTTTCTCTGCGCGCGATGCCCTCACATAAAAGGCAAAAATACATGTGACTCAACCGAAAAATCATGGTGTCTTTCCATAGAAAATGTCTTGTCTCTTAATGGGTGGCTTTGATAAGGAAATTCATGGACATTGTGTGTCTTAGGGGGAAAGTGAAAATTGCCATGTTGGACTGGGTCAATGATTTTCTGCTGGCACTTTTCCACCCGCGCCCAGGAAGGGCAACACTTGCGGTGAAATTTGCGCTCAAACAACAGTGTGTTGAGTCATTTCCTCGTCTACTTCCCAACACACACTCTTCCATCGCCAATTAATATGTCAGTTCTGTTTACCAGTCGAAGGAGACCTTCAATGGCTTCACCGGGCGGGGAAAATCTGTGATATTCCGTTGTCTGGAGAAGCTCAAAATAACTCGATGGATGAGCCAAGGAGTGTGGGTGATTTGATTTCCCATGACTCCGCTCATCGTCAACTGGAGAGAGAGAGAGAGATGACTTAATGAAATTGTCGTACGTGCAATGCAAGATTCTTGTACATGATAATTGGTCTTTGATGGCAATAATTTAGGTCAGAGTCTCAGAGTGACACTTTTGTTCCTACTATTTGAATGCTGCACAATTGCTTGCTTCGCTCTAGCTTATTGTCACTTTCATGAAGGTAGATTAATAGTGTTGCTCAAGTGGTTGTGGTCAATGAAGTTTATATATCTTATGCCAGTAACACGTTCAGGCTATTATCAAAGGGATGACGGAGAGCTGGCAGTTCATAATCAACATGATATTGTCTGCCTCGGTGAGAGAAAATGTATACAGAATTTCGTCTCAATGTTGACCATGACCTAGCAATTGGAAGAGCGAAGATTTCTAGGTCATTGGATCACACTAAATTGTAGGCGAATTTGCGTGTTATTTAAAATTCATCGGATGCTAATGCATATTGATTTCTCTATACCATACGCGTATGGTAATCTTTGTAACACGTTTGCTTGCCGGGATTTAAATTACTTTTTTTGCAACGTGTAATTTCGTCTTCCTTGAATTTTGCATAGAGTGTGCTTCCATTTGCAATAATCTTATGCAATTGGGGCACTTCTGATGCAAGAATATCAATATTTTACACCTGACTCCCAAGAATTCCCTTCAATGTTTGAGAACCATTTGGAATATGACAGAATTCAGTGCCAAATCTCGTGAGTCATTGTCTTTCCGGTCTTTGTGATAGGAATCTCTCTGACCCAAGGGTTGAAAATGGATGATGATGAAGTTAGTTTTCCCATCAACTCGAGAGCCTGAACTCTTGTCCTCTGTGATGATGAATCATTTGTGGAAGAGAAGAAGAAGAGCCTATTGTCCGATGTTCAAAGAACATGATTTTCTTTCACTGCGCGATCATAAAGCATAATGAGATGGACGAAGAAGAGTCGTAATATAAATATGAAGATGTATTTTGCGATGCATTTCTAATTTGTCATTCATGAATAATTCATAATTGGAATGTTTCTGCCAGAAGAGAAGCAGCAGGTATTGGAGATGAAATGAGGAGCTGCTGCTAAAGTGCAAAACTGTGAAACGTAACATATCTGATAATGGTTATATTGGTGATGATGTCAGCGAAAATGGGATTTTTGTCTAGAAAAATTAATCAATGGAGATTGAAAATGAGTCAACCGGTTCTCTGTCAACATCGAAAGTGGGAAATTTGAATGAGAATTGCGTCTGGTTTGTGGCCATTTGATTGTGACTTCATATACAATCAGTGAATGAATCTCTTCATCCGTATTGAACACTGCAGAGTCTGCATGAAGTTTGACTCTTGGTGTATTCAACCATGGGACAGTTATCAATTCTTATCTCTAGTATATAGAGTTGGCAATAATTGTAGGTAAACCCGATTAAAAGTGAACAGGGGAAGAACTTTTTATAACGAGTGGACAGATATGGAGATATGTCATGTACTCTTGGAGTGGGAAAAGTTGATAAGAAATTTAGACTGTGTGCTATTTGAGAGGTGTCACTTGAGTGTAGGAAGTTCTAGTGGTCTTAGGGATAATATAAGAAGAGGAGGTTTGGCCACTGGTGTACCTAAATATTTGTTATTCATTTAGTTGCTTATCCCTAAATGTCAGAACAAACAGCTAGTGCTGTAACAATGGCAAAATCATGGGCTTGAAGAAGCTACACAATTCGGGACGTGTCAGAAAACTGCTTCAAGACGAAAATGTGAGTCAAGACATTATATCAGCTTTAATATTAATTCCGTTGATAAATGTTTCATGTGTGTAACACAGACGCAAGAGTTGGCGCAAATCTCTCGTGTGTATTGCAAAGTAGTTGAAGCTCACGGAGTGTTAGAGAAATGAAAGTTCTATGAAATGACAAGTTTATATGAATCCAGAAGGCAACAACCTTGCTTCAACCGCATTTTGTGGGGTTTTTGAAAGCTATGAAATTCAGATTCAATTCACGAATATTAAATGAACTGAAGTTTGCCAAAAGATTTTGTTCTATAGAAAGTTGGGTATTTGAGCAAAAACATTTTTAACGAGTGTCCTTTGGGCCTTTCGCGGGTGAAATTCAATTCGGGAGAATCTCAAGTGATTAATGCTTGTGCAAGGCTGTGTTGAAGTGTTGTTATGGCATTGGGGTTTAGACCATCAGTGAAAATTGTGAAAGATAATGGTGTGTGTTTGTAAACTCTGAAAAACTGGCCCCGGGTTTAGTAACTCAATATCTCTCTCTCTCTGTCTTTTTCTCTATCTCTTCGCCACTCCGAGCAAACTCTCCAGCTCAAAGCCCACCAGCAAAATGTAATGTAAAAGTACTTCCAACTTCGATACATAAATATTATTATGTGTGCTTAGGTCTTCTCTTTCTTGAGCAATTGAACAAAAGCTACTTCAACTATACAGCGTGTCTTTTCTTGCCGTTTGGATTTCCTCGTGAAAGAAACTTCTTTGGGGCAGCAGAGAGTGTGGAGAACAGGTTTATCGAATGTGTTTTACGTATATTAAAAGGCACACAAAAATGACTTTTTGTGTAAATACAACTCGTGGAAATAATATATAACGTACGAAAAATACACAACAATGCCTCCTCAATGGTATATAATGTATGCACATGAGGTGAGGAATTAAGAAGAAAAAAATATTGTAATTAAAATGGCTCTTCAAACAATGATATAGGAGTTTAAGTGTAACGAAAAGGCACGTTTTGCGCTGTGGTGAGCGGACTGACAAAAATTAAATCAGACGTCTGAAATTGCATTCACTTGTAGGAAGATCACTATCCGTCGTAAAAATTTACATAATTTCGCTGGGCAATAATATTTTTCGGCTTGCTGGTCTGTGTTCTGTGTGGCAAGGGTGATAAATTTTGCGGCTTAATTTATTATAATGTAGAAAACTCTAGGGCGTTTTCGTGAGTGAATGCTAAAAAAAAAGTATGAAGACGCGCAAGATGGCAAAGAATGTCAATATGATGGAGATCATGAGGGAAAATTGCCGAAAAGTACAAAGAGAGTATCAGACTTGATGATGCCTGATAAATTAACAATTAATTTACCTCTTTAGAAATGAATTAAGGAAATAATGGTGATATAAAGAGTGCATTACAAAATTCTGCAACAAAATGAAAACACACGTGAAATAACTAGGGAGCAATGATGATTAACAACAGGTGTAGAGAGGCACTTAAATTATGTTATTATGTGTGTTGCTTTTTAATTATTCCCCATCAGCTGCCACCTTGGCAATACATTTCATGATAATGCTCTTTTTTTCCTACAATAATTCCGAAATCAAACCCGTGAAAAGGCAAAGAGTGTGAGAAAGAGAGGCTAAATTGGGCGTCTAAACACACCAACAAAAATTCACTGATGCCCCCACCAAGAAAAGGAGGTATTTCTCTAATTTGTCTGTTGGAAAACGATAAACAAAGATTGGCATTCAGTTGAAGAGTGTCGTCAGAAAAGAGTGTTTAGGGTATTATGCTTTGCTGTAAAAAGAGGTGTTTTATTGAGAATTTCGGGAGGTAATTTTGCGTGTTGAGCCGCCAATTTATTGTTTTGTGTGTGGGAATCTCTCAAAGTAGTTTAATGACCCAAAAGAGGAGGAAGAACTTTTTTTGTGCTATGGCAAAATTTAGTGTGTCATGTTGTTGAGCAGCAGTTGCAAAAAAAAAGAATGAGAGACACTTTTGCATACGCAAATAACATCGGTGAATTTCTTTTAGCAATCCTACCATCACTCACCTTCTTTCCTGTTCTCTTGTCTTTCCAGTGAGTGCAATAGTTGAACACGATTACACAGCGATGCAACCAGATGAACTGAGTCTGGTCAAAGGTGCCATCATACAGAATATTAAAGTACAACCAGGCGGTTGGTGGGAAGGAACAATAGCGTCTTCTGGCAAAAGTGGAATGTTTCCTGACAATTTTGTGCGTGTCCTGGAGCCGGACGATAAAAATCCAGTTGTGCTGAGGTAAATAACAACACAAGCATCTCGCAATTCAATTATCATTTGAATCAGTCATTAAACACTATCTTGGCTCTTCTTGCAATTTTCTGCATTAACTTATTAATTATGTTGATTGATTGTAAATTTACCGCTAGATGGTAATTGATGTAAATCGAGGTGAAAAAGACAAACACACACACACACACACATATGGACAAGGGGAAAAGATAAAGAGAATTGCAAGAAACAAAGTGTGACATCATAGGAAGAATGAGAAGAAGAGAGTTAAAATTGTCAACGAGGAAACTTTTGATGATTCATATGTAAATTGAGATCTGTCGTATCATGAATAATTCAACGTTATACATTTTCTTGAGACATTTACGGTGTTTGTATTAACAGAAAAAAATGTCGCTAAACCGCGCGATGTAGAAGCGGCAACAAGAGTATAAGAAAAGAAAAACAATGCGTACAGTTGATCGCAAAAGTGTTGACATATCAGGGCTTTTTTGAGGTGTGACTATATGCAAAAATTTGGGTGTCGAGTAGTTTAGAAAGAGAAAATCTAACTATAACTGTTATGGATTTATTATGTATATTTTTTTATGGTTAATCCTATTTTGGAGGTTCATTCAAATGACAATTTCCATCACAGTGAGCACACGGAACAGTTACAACAATATGTTTGCCGAAAACACAATGCTCTTCTGCGCCCTTTTTGATTCGCTATGGAGATAAGATTTATTATTGTTTAATCATGGCGCGATGAGTTCAAAGACAAGAGTTTAATGATCTCTGGGTGACGGTTTTGTGACTCACTGTACTCTATGTAATTGGACACTGGAAGAGAAATATCTTTGAGTTGCAGTAAATCATGCGAATAACTGACCATTTCGAGAAGTTGAATAATGCAAATGATCATATTCCATGCTCAGTTACGTCTTCCATTGATCTGTGGTGAGATGAAAAGAATCACTTTTGAGCTCACTGTGCTTCTTGTGAAATTGAAATCGTGAGCAATTATGGAATGTCGTCATGTGTCTCATTTGTAATTTAGTGACATTTTGCCAGACTTGTGAATAAATGTTCTGCTTTGCATAAAAGTTTCTCGTTTGGGGTTTGAGAAGTGGAGAGATGCTAAATTTGTAACAGAACGAATTTTATGTCATGAATTAATTCCTCCTCTTTTCCTTTCCATCTCTTGCTCATTGGATGTCTAGGGATAAATCTGCAGCATCAAATAGGCGATGCAAAGTGGTTTACAGCTATACACAGAACAACAATGACGAACTTTCCCTGGCGGTTGGTGACATCATTGAAGTGCTAGGCGAGGTATGTAATGTAAGAGAAAAGATCACCGATAAGCACACTATCGCTGTCACATCCAGTGGATGGATTAGCATTTAATCGAAAGAGCGACACTCTCGCTTTAATTAACTTTCTGACCCATGATTAATCACCACTCTTTCTCTGTGGCTTCTTGCAGGTGGAGGAGGGATGGTGGCGCGGCAAATTGGGCAATCGAGTAGGTGTCTTCCCATCCAACTTCGTCCTAACCGTTGACGATGTGTCACCAGTGTCGGCAAATAGGATTTCAACAAATACCTCAGGCAATCGCACTAAAACTAGTCTCAACAGCTCGCGCGAGGACTTGGTGTCGGCTGGTGTCAATAACTCAGTGGCACAGGACAAAGATGCCCCGAGTTTACCACCAAAGCCAGTGAGGGAGATTTGCAGAGTTCTCTTCCCGTACGAGCCACTGAATGAGGATGAGCTGGAGTTGCTCGAGGGTGATATAATCACGATACTGAGCAAGGATCTGCCCGACAAGGGGTGGTGGAAGGGCGAATTGCGTGGGAAAGTAGGTGTTTTCCCAGACAACTTTGTCTTCGTTCTTCCGCCTGAAGGTGGGAAATATTGTGATAGTCTCCTAATATCTTACTATAATAATCTAATGTTATTACAGCATCACCATCAAAGGAGAGCGGCATTAAGCCTGATCGTCCACCACCAGCGTCAAAGATGATCATTCAGAAGACGACGAATAACAGTAACTCGATCAATTCTTCGCGGAAGGACAGCTTCGGCTCCAAAGATTCGCTGAATGAGTCTGGAATTGTGACAGGCAGTGTGGCGGCTCACAGAAAGTCACTGGAGAGCAAATCTGTTGATCCAATAGCTGAGAAACCGCCGAGGAAATCATTTGACACCAAAAGTTCAGTGGATATGAGGAAGAGTATGGAGAATCTGGATGAAAAGAAGGCGACTCCGCCGCCAGTCTTGTCAAAGAAACCCAGTGTGCCAATCAAAAAGTCCCCTACCATCGGCAGTGTGACCACAAACATCTTTGGGCTGAATAAGAAGGTGAAACCGGCGGAGAACAAGACCAGCAATCTGGACAATCCGGATGGGGGCGCTTCCAGTAAAATGGGCAGTCCTCAAGTGGCGGACAACAATGAAAAGGGTGTTGTTGGTGAGAGGATCACTCGGAGTTTCGGGGAGTCGGACTTTGATCAGGTGGAGAGATCGAGTGGCGTGCTGAAGGATATGAGAGCCAACAGGGCGAAGTTGCCCAAGGGAAGACGACCTCCTACGTCAGCGCTCAACTCCAGTGGTGAGAGTAGTATGCTGAATGGCAGCAGTGGCAGTATTGAGGAGCACAACAACAGCAAGGACACATCGCAGAGTGAGGATGAGCTGGTGAAGCCCAAGGCGAGAGAGTGGGAGAAGAACAAGGCTCCGTGGATGGCGGAGTTGAAGGCCAACCAGGCGAAGAAGACATCACCCAGCTTTGATTCTACCAAATCTCCCGCGGAAGTGACATCCGGTGGGGAAAACACTGAGCGAATGGACATGTCCAAGTCATTCAGCAGCTCGTTCATGGCGTCGAGTCAGAAGAGGACAAGCGAGAGCTTCGAGGTGCGCTCCAACAGTGTAGATGTGAAGAGCACGAGCTTCGAGGTGAAGAAGGAGGACGTGATGACCAAGTCAGTGTCGGCGGTGTCCACGAAGATTGCTGTTCCGGACAATGAAGAACCGGTCTCGAAGCCGCGACCGGCGAGTGTGGCGGTCAGCTTGAGGAACAGGAGCAGTTCACCGATGAGGCAATTGAGTGCAGGTCGTCCGCCAAGCATGGGCACTGAAGTGGTCGCCGAGAACGCGCATCAGTCGGAGTCAAAAGTGGGCGAACTGGAGCAGCGAGTGGCGAAGCTGGAGCGGATTGTGCAGAGCCAGGGCATAACCATTGAAGATCTGGTGAGGCGCCTTCGCGACGAGTCGGACAAGGTGAAGACGCTGAAGGCTGAACTGGAGAAGTATGCCCAGTGTGTGACGCAGGTATGAAAATGATTTCCTCCCGAGGCGAATCGGGACGATTTTCCGTGAATGGAATTTTTGTACATATAAAAATTTGGTCAACTTGGGATTTGTAACACACTTGATATAATGTCTTATCAATCCTGCTGTAATTTGAGAATTCAGCATTATCGTGATTGTGTAAACAAAAGAAAAAAAAATTGAAAAGTATTTAATTGCAAGGTTTTCACTTTGTGAAATTCAGTGACTATTTGGAATTATTCGAATGCTTGATATATTTGACAAAGACAGAAAGTTGCATGAAATGATTTATTTAAATTGAATAAAATGAACATTGGAAATTGCACAAATAATTGTGATGATACATTTTATAAACTCTTTCATTCATATTTGCATTCCACATAATTTACATTCATTCACATTGATTTGGGTTGACATTTGGAGTCATTCGGATAATTCTGAGAAGCGCTGTGAGTTTGAAAAATATTGAAACACACTCCAAGAAAATGAGATCACTTTAAAGTATTTGCCTTTTATAGCGATTCACTATTTTATGAATCCAATACACGATGGATCCTTAGAAATTATATACATAAAATTTGTGTCAAGATCGAGAATTTTTGTAATTGTAGCTGATAAATTATTTCAAATTCATTCGCTGGACAGAATGAAGAAAACATTTTGTAAATGGAGTAGAGAAAGGGAGAATAAAAAGAAATTAAATGAATATAATTGCGCAATATACAAAAATGATGATAAATATATTTTTATATGCTTGAATTGTGTGATTTTGGTGGATATGAGAAAGTATATATCATTTTGTGTGAGAATCATTTTTGTATAAAATAAAATTGATAAAAATTTGTATGTTAATCTTGTGCAATGATTGCGAATTTTTACATTATTATGGCTTGTCTTTTTGCACAATGATTGTAGAAAATACGCTTCTTGCTGTAACATAAATTAATTAGAGGGATATTGAAGATGTGCGGAGAGAAACCATAGAATTGGACATTCCAATTGTTTTTTTTTTTTCGCAAAATTACAAAGAGAAGAAAAATATTCAAGTGCTTGAGGGCGGTTTAAAAGGAGTAAATAATCACAATAGACGACGATATCAGCGTTAAATGCTTGTGCTTCCTTCACAAAATATTCAGTTGCTATTACAATTTAGATTGGTAGTGATGAAAATATGACTAGTGGGCATCATTTTGAGACATTTTATGGATAGAAATTTAAAAAATATACACCAAGATAAAGAAGAAGAATATATATATTTATTTTGCTATTTATTAAGAATATACACCGAAGGAGGAAATATTTTTTAATGAAACATTTGCATTTGTACATAGAGAAATTGCGTAGGAGCGAAAGAGGGGGAGGAGGAGAGGTGAAGAAAGTAGTGTGGGACAGTGAGATTAATTGCCAGGCCTTTATGCATTTCATTTAGGATTATAAATGATATAATGGAACGATGATTATGAGAGAGATGAACAGAGTCTAGTGAATTATTCTAAAACGCAGGCATTGTGCTTCTGAGAGGGATTGATGTTCTCAATGGCGATTGGAGAATTGTGTGAAATGGAGAGCAATATTTGAGCAAAAACCTCTCCCCAATCAATTATTCAGAGGGTTTGTAAAAGGAGACCATCGGTACGTTGATAGTCCATTTTGTAAATTGCAGATAACTGAAAATTACTGTGGTTCCCATTCTCACTAGTGAGAAGGAGAGAGAATGAACGATGGGCCAAGTATGCTCGCTGAATATATTTGTAATATAATGCTTGATGAGCATTTTCAGTCTAAATGAAATATCATTCCAATTTGTATTAATGATAAATACCTTAAATAGGATTATACTACAATCTATAGTGAGATACAACATTCATAGAAGACAGTGGATGAGGAGGAGAACAGAAGAAGCGAGAATAGAGAGAGAGTGGTTCAAAGACATGAGATTGGTTTTTGTAAGTCCTTTCAAATTGTTTTGATAACGTATAAAAGAATGTGAAATTGTGCATTTCCTATTTACATAATTATTCCATTACTTTCAATGATATAATCACAATGTATGACTATGTTTTATAAGACAGAGTGAGGAGATGAAAAGAAAATGATAGTATGAAATTGTACTTACGAGAAACTTTCCATAAATATAAACCTTATTTCGTCTATTGATTTCATAGGACATAAAATAATATTAATAATATATTTTTATTGATAAATAAAAGTAAAAATTTCATGAAGAAGAATCACACTTATTTCTATGAGTTGCTCCGAGAGAAGACACAAAACATCGAAATTTGATATTTACTCTACTCGTGTGGATTGTTTCTGGCAAAAACTCAGTCTTATTAGTCAATTTTGGGGTGAATTTCATGGAAGAGTTGGCAGTGCGCAAAATTGTCAATTGTAATTTGAGTTTGTGGGTGGTTGTCATGTTAACACGTCTCATTTGATTGAATCAGCAATGGTGTGGTTTGGTGACGATAAAAACCACCATCCGGCAGCACCTAAAATCACTGAATATACTGCTAAAACGGCAATGTGTGGCGAATGAAAACGTCCTGCTTCTTTATGATTCTCGCCTCCCTCACGCGCTCCTCCCGCAATTCCAGTCGAAGGGTGGTGCTTCACCCTTCGCGCGGCTTTTTTTTTGTGCCTCTCCTGAGTGTGCGGTAAAGTATACAGAAATATGATGAGGTGGAGGAATGAGCAGGTGCTCGTATATATGTTCTGTATCCTCGTAAAGCCGTCGAATACATAGAGTGATATGTACATGAAATTCTACGCATCTCTCTATGTAACATTTACACCGTCTACATCTGCGCTCAGTACAGACGCTGGTCAGAATTGTAGACGCGCTTCGCTGAGTGGCGAGAATCTCACTTGCAGCTTCCACACGATCAGCCAGTGTCTGTAGAGAGAGGTGAGCTTGGGCATATTAAACAAGAGCATCCCCTCTTGATACTATATTTATACGCAGCACACAATTTGCAGTGTTGTACTACAATCGATTCCGTCCGGCAGGACTTCAAGGAGAGTCCGATTGTTCAGGATGGGCGAAAAGGTCCACAAGGAGCATGTGACGGAGTGGATTCTGGGACAATTGCAGCTCACCCGGAAGCCCATCTTCTCTGTCTATCGCCTGCACGCGGCGCTCTCGCTCTCGGATGCCACTTGTGGCGCGTGGTAATGCTCTGACCTGTTGGCAATCGGAAAGCTGCTCTGGGCTTTCGGCGGGGTGGTGGCACAGCCTCTCTCGCGACGGCCTCTATACGTTAAATATGCTGTGATGACGACAATGAATCAAGGGATGGGGGACGAGAGGCGCCCGAGCTAGAGAGCTTGGGCGTCCAGAGCGCCGGCGCCAGAAGCACGCCAGACAATTTTACAAACACCAACACTCACGCAAGCGAAGCTCTCGTCGTGGAGCAACTGTAGCTTTTGGGGCTCTGCGTTGCTCGTTCGCAAGTCTCCAGGGCGAGGTGATGAATCTGGTCGTCTTCTGGGAGTGTTTGAAAATTATGCTAGACAACTTCCGATTCTTTTCCCAACTCCCAAAATTGTGACCAAATAATAAACCAATAGTAGTTTTGTTAAGCGCTTTTACAGTTGATCGCGAGTAGTGAGCACACGGCGAAGCTCTCTGCAGCCATCCTGGCGCTCTTCCCCCATCAAGGGTGAAAGGCATACCTTTGGCCGGGCTGGTGTGCGTGAGACTCCGACCAGAGTCTGTTGCATTGAAATACAACACGCTCCGACGGTGTATCCTCAGTGCCTGGATCGCTGTCGGGGAGTTAAGGTGCATCCCGCCACGGAGTCGCGTGTCACGAGAGAAGAAAGACAATCTCACGGAGCGACCCTCAGTCGAAGCAGGACACTGAGTCAGCCTCCCGCTATTTTTTGTGCGCCCCCACTCGAGGGTGGAGTGGACATTTTTCGCGGACGAGCGGTTTCAGCTGAACGTTGCCGTGCTGGGAGCCACAAAAAAAGAGAGTCGAGTGTGTGAAGCAACAGATTGCTAATGAGAAACGAGACGGTGGATTGTATCTGCAAATAGATACATTTCTGTGTGCCCTTCTCACCATCTCGGGTCCCTCATTATCAGAAGACACCACATCCCCGGGGCCGCAGAGATACCGTTTAATTGTGCGAACTGCTGCAGAGGCAGTCAGGAGAAAAATCAACAGAGGACCAGGCATTTCCATAAATTCTGCACAACTTTTTCCCACAGCAAATTCGCCACTGTGCACTAAAAATCTGTCGAGTGTTGGTGTTTTTTGCCTGCTGGAAAAGTTCCTCGTCGAAATAAAGGGACGCGCGAAAGGGAGGTCCGACCAGGTGAAGTTGAGCCCAATATGAATGTTAGATTAATGTGAAAGTAAAGTGTCTGGAAGGTCAGATGACTTTCAGTGTTTTCCATACATTTTTCATAGTGGTGTGTTCATAGTGGATTTCCTCTCTTGTGCAGCAACTCCAGAAAATTGCTGTGATGCCTCGTGGAAAATTAATCAGCATTTAGAATTGGTACGTGACCTAATTACACTTTTCCTCCCTTTTTTTCTGCCACCGCCGAAAAATCCTCATGAGCTCAATTGGAAGTGTCTTGTTGAAAAAATCAAGATTTCCCCGCTTACAAAATGTCATTTGTTGCTGACGAAAATTTATGGTTTGCTTTGGCAAACAAAAAAAAGCACAAGTCCAAGTAGATTTTTGCTTAGAGCTTTCCATGAGTGCTGAAAAAAGCACCCAGCAAATTCATCATTTATCATTATTGGCATCCATTTACCCTCGAAAAAAAACTTTCCACTAACACATTTTCTCCCCCAAAAGCATTTCCCTCGGCGGACTCTTAAATTTCTCCAGAGGACTCAGGAAAAGTCATACATTTCACGAAAGTTATTTGACAAAATTGCACGGCAAAAATATTTTGAATGCTCGGAATTTGCCTGGGAAAAATAGTTGTGGAATTCAAAGTAGTTGGAATTGAAATTGAATAGTGTAAGATGGATATGAAGACGTGTGTTTCAAAATCTCTTAAAGTTAAGAGGTTGCAGTGCAGCTTTAAATATGCTATAGACTAATTTCATTAATATCAATACGAAATGTGATTGGCGGAAACTCCCAAGTTAATTCTCAGCTCTTCCAATCAAGAGGAAGGATTCATTGATTTTTTTTCCCCGTGAAACATTCAAACCCTCGTCTTATTTTCCCACAGTCACTGACCACAAATTTATCATTCGACCGTGTACAAATGTAAACTTGGGCGACTTGAAAGGATCTCTGGCGATTAAAGAGATCAGCCAATATCTCAGCTCAATGAATTGCATCTTAGCTCTTCGCTTGGGAATGTGTTGCAGTCGATGGACTGCTTTACTCAGAGAATCCTTGGAATGGGAAGCAACATGTTGGAGACGCCCTGACGGATGAAGTAGGGACAAAGTGAAGCATATTGCGAGGGAATTGTGTGCAAAGAAAGTAGATTATGAGATTATCTCATGACGCTAAATAATTTGATCACTTAGTAACTGCATTTTCTCAATGTGTTTGATGTTACACTCAGAATTGGTGTGACGAAGGGTGCTTAAATGGCCAGAATTTTAATTAAAATTTGACTTTGTCAGTGGAAGATGCAGGGAAAGTGCTGTGCAGCAGTGAATTTCCGTAATTAGCATGGCAAATGGGTATGTGTATCTCAGTGTTACTGACTGATGCTGAAGTTCCATGCAATTTTAATTTCATTCCAACCTGGGATTTGAGCCTGCAATTTCTATTCTGTCAAAAGTGCTCTGCTTTCTCGCATCCATCAGCACAAGATCAGGAATGCTTTCACTCTAATTGAACAAATTTGGAGATAATCCACCAAGATACGCTTGAAGATACTGGAAGCTGCACAGTCTTTGTCTCCATCGTCGTTTCTATCGGGAACACTCTCATGGGTGATCTTATTTTCTTACAAACCGCCAGAGAGTATTTTTAAAACCTCCACTTTTGGGTGGATTTCCGCTCAGCGTAGCGTTGACGGAACGACTGCTCAATGCCGCAATGAAGAAAGGAAGCTCCGTAATCGATATTTTCGCCCCCAAAACTCGTAACGACCTCTCCTCGGGGATCATTCACGGACACTTTAATACTTGTTGGAGTATTTTGTGAATTTCTTCGCAACACCCTCAGTTTCGCCCATGTAATAGAAGGTGCTGCGAAATTTTAAGCATATTTGCGGCCAATTATGCTCTCCTTTGGTTATTTGAGAAAAGTTTTCGCCCTCAAACTAAAGAACTTTCCTCATGAGCTCATTCAATATAATTTGAAGTAGAAATTGAGATGATAAAGCAGTTTATTAAAAGTTTAGACTGAAGAAAGGGTAGTTTGTATGGGTTTCACAACACAATGGATATCCTGACGACTATATTTTTTCCTTTCTACTGAAATCCTGGATTTTCCTCCAGTGAAGTGTTGCTGGGAAAATACTTTTTACGACCTCGCGTGTTTTATGCCTGATTCTCTGCCAGTTCATGATACAAAAAAAGCGGCATAGAATAATTCACCCCGGAGATATTTGCTTTTAGAGCAATTCTGCACCTGGACCTTCTATTTAATTGCAAGAGAACAGAGAGAGGCAGATCCCTGTGGCATTTTGCATATTCCAGAGAAGAGACAACATATGTTATTTGCACACATTTTCCTAAATGGCTTTTTATCTTACCAAATTATGTGCATTTTATTCTATTTTATATGTACTTCGCGTCCGCCGCAAGCTCTGCTGTCTCTTATATTTCAACAATAAGCATTTATTGTGATATTAACAGAATAATGACAATTCATTTGAAAATATAACAATGAATATCACATTATTACGCAATTTCTCGATCAATTTGAATATGAAAGGCAGTCTTCTGGATTAAGTGTCCACACTAAATTAAAATGTAAATTATAAATGTCATCATAAAGTTTGTTCTTTTGATAGATATACAGCGCAGTATCACCCACGGCGCCTTAATTGCCAACCCCTAAAATTGACGCTCAGGAAGTTCCTTTTGTCCCGCCGAGTTCCTGGGAAGTCGGCCCGAATATATAACGCATTATTAATTTGGGTGTGGCCGTTTTGGGAGGGAAATTAATCACATTTTAAATTATTGCGACATATTTTTCGCCAGACACCTTCCCAATAGACTTGTCTCACAGGAGCGACAATTGGGATTAATTTGTGGGGCCGCATGGACATGGAATTCCGAAGGCTGTGCGCCCGTAATTGAAATTGAAATATTGAAATATCACTGTCAATTCCGATCAAATGGGAATTACTTGGGGTTTGCAAGTTGAAAGAAAAACACTTTTTGCAACTTTCGAATACGTGAACAGTGTGAGAAGGGAAAATGTGAAAGATAAATGTGAAAATTCTCAACATTTTTATGTGCTCAGAGGGGTTCAATACCGAGGATGAGCTTGTGTTTTCTTATCATGAAAAATGGATAAATGGTTCGGAGATGTTCCTCGGGATTCCACACCCTGACCCGAAATGTATCACTGCGAGCTTCACGGAGATTCATCGCTGTGGAGTTGTATTTTATTCGTACGGCGAATTCATTTGATTGATAGTTATAAAAATTGAGAGCTTTCACTCAATATCTCTGTGAATTGTATGACTAGAATGTAAATTCTATAGGAAGACTCTTAATGGATAACAAATCAATAACAACAAGATGTTTTTTCCACTAACGACAATCTATGCTCGTGAATAAGTGAAATGTGGATGATTGTGGAAATTTGTGGGGTAGAAATGTATATTTTGAAACTTTGTATGAAAGACAGCTGAAAACTCAAATGCTCTCTATGAGGCAGCTGGAAAATATGGGTGTGAATTTTTGACTTTTATTTGAGAAATTTGAATGAAGGTATGATGTTTATTTTCTCCAGATGCTGCGGAAATTGAGAGTGAGCTACATTCTCAGATGCTACCGCAATTTTGTGGGAACAATAGCAAGAGAAAATTGTTTTCCCTGCTGTGAATTAATTTTGGGCAATATTTTTTTACATGAGATTAAAAACTGTCAATAAATTCTCTCTAATGTAATTAAAGTAGAGGCAGAAAGAAAGTCAAGATGATGAAAACTCACTCACATTTTAGTGAAGTAACCTTGTGCGGTTGTAAGGGAAAGAATGCTGTAGAAACTTTCCTGAATTTCCACAATTTCCCTCCAGCAATTCCCGGAAACTCTGATTTCTTCATGTTTCTAGTTTCTGCTATTTACTCTCCATCTCACTCTCTCCAATTATTTCCTCCTCTTTTTTCCGGTTTCCTGTGCCGAAAGCACTCCAGATGAAGTTGTGTGTCAATATTATGATTAAAGTTTCCCCTCCGTGCGTGGCCAGACTTTTCCAGTTGATAAGGTGGAAAATTTAAAATGACATGCCTGCATTTGAAGGGCTCTCGTGTGTGCTAATTACCAGATGGGTGAATTGATTGCTTTAAATGCCAATAGCACGCCTCAAAAGACAATAGGTTCGGGCAGTGAGGCTGCAAGGGAAACCCGAAGAACCACAGCTTAGCCGATCATTGCAGGGCTTTGCCAGTTGGCACCTCAGTGGCCAATAAATAACTTGTTGCGGAAAAAGTGACACTGAATTGCAATTTTACCTGCGCTTTTCTCGCAAATTGTCCATCTGCCACTTTAAAGATAAATGGGTGGAAAATATTTAATGAACTTTTCTCTGTCAGAATCAATTTCAAGTGCTTCTGCGCTAAATATTCTCACAATTTATTCAAAAAATATTAATGAGATTTCAGTTTTGATACAAAAACTTTACGTCCAGAATTTTATGATTGAAATTCTGAAAATAGAACGACCATAAAATTTGCATTTGGTAATTTATCGACATGTTTCTCAGAGAATATTAAAATTTTATACCTTTTCGTAAGAAGGAGGTTTGAACTCGAGAGCTTTCGAAGTCCTTAAACTCTGTAAAATCAATTGAACTATTAGACATACACATTCTGAATAGCCTGCAAAATGAATGAAATTTTAATGACAATAATTAAACTGTCCATTGACAATTTGGCTCATCACTTTCTGTAATGCACTTGAAATAAAACCACAATTGCGTTTGACTGGTCAGAAATATTTTAACAATATCACCAGTAAATGAATTGCACCAATTTTGATGACAATAAATGTGATATACCCCATAATCTAATTGTGATTAATAGAACACTCGAGCGGACTTCGCAGGCAATTGTCTACGTGGTAAATATTCAAGAGTTTATCAATTTTTAGTCAATAATTCTCTTCCTCTCTGAGGCGATTAAATTTGACCCCAGTCAGGATGTTAATATTTTAAGCGCTGCGCACCATAAAATCAGTCGCTTGGGAATTCAGTGGAAATAGGTGGAACACTTCTAAATCCCTGTGTTAATACTCAAAGTGTGTAAATAGAATACAAAATGTACGAAAATAAGTATTGTAGTGGCGCAAAAAGAGTACAATTTGTGAACACGCAACACACCATGTTTGAACATAGTAAATTCA